ACTTGTTCACTGTCCTCACCGCATACTCGATATATTTGTTGGGTGCATTGGGCTACTCGCTGAAGAAACGGGGGTTGCAGTATGCATGAGTGGTCGACGTGGTTGGGTGCTGATGTCGGCTGCTGCGTTGGCACCTGCGTCGTGCATAATAACGTAAACAACGTGGTGGGTGCGTCGCATCTTGCATTCTGCCTGCATGCTCCTGCTCGTTGCCCAACCGGAACACGCCCAATGCGGGTCGCGCGACCAGGGAAAACAAAAAGACAAAATTTCGAGATTGGGATACACCAAACGTATCAACCGTCGTGACATCAACGGAGAGGAAGACAACAAGAAAGTCCAAAAGAATAAATATAAATATAAACACTTGGTATTCGCCTCGTAATCATGTCCAAATAAAGTAACAAAAAACCACCGAATTTTATCACGACTCCCGTCCGAAACGCCGGTTGCGCCATCACCAGATGCCGAGTAGAAATAATGGAGAGGGGGAAAAAATGGCAGCCGAAGAAGAAAAGGGTATGAACAAAAGAAGCAACCGTCTCAGTGGCACTAGATATCAGGCTTTTCCTCCTGTATGGCGCGTTTATGCTAAGCACGGCCAGCCACAGGAACTGGCCTCTGCGTCGTCGACGGACTGCTATGGTTGCGCATGCCTACAGGTGGTGACGATGACGACGGCGTTGCCGGCACGGGTATTGGCGTCGTCGATGTGACTGTGGGTGGCGGCACCGGTGTCGTGGATGTTGCGCGGCCTACAGAAGCTGGCACTGCTGGCGGCATCATGGTCGTCAGCATGTCAAGATCGGGCTCGCCCATAGCATCCTCGCTGTCAGCAAGACTTGGGTGGTCGTCGGGTAGTTTCTGTGCTCCGTAGCCGCGCACGCCAAAGATGTTGACACGCCCGCCATTGGTCGCCGTGTTAAGCTGTTCAAACAACCGTGCCAGCTGATACTGGCGTTTAATGGGTGCAAACGCGTGCTGCGGCACCACCGGCCGTGGTCGCCAGTTCGCCATGGCGTTCATCACCGTCGCCGCCTCTTCGTCCGAATCGATGTTGCCACCATTCGGATCCTCCTCTTCCTCCGCCGGCGCGCTGGCATCGATGGCAGCCTCTGTGAGAGGTGGGTCAGTAAATAAGCGCATTCCATCAAAAACGAATTCTCGGGAACATCCACCTGCAACTTACTCTGCTGCTTTGCCTGGTTCTTCTTCTGGTACGCCGCTAAGAGCATGTCGTACGGCAACGACCGTCCCGGAACAGCACGCTTGGCTCCCATTGAGTGACTCTTGCATGTCAAAGAACGGGCACAAGGCTGACCGTTAGGCAGAATGACACCGCACTGTCGCTCCACATCGACGGGGCCCTTGGGCTTTGCTGTCTTGGGCTTGGCCTCCTCCTTCTTCTTCTTCTTCGGCGCTACCTTTTCAATCTCGGCTTCGGCCTTGCGCTTCTTGTTCGCTGCTGCGCCGGCTTTGGAGTCACCCGCCGCGTCGCCCTTCTTGGCAGCCGCCGTAGACTTCTTGCCCTTGCCGCTCGGCGTCCCGGTCCCCGGCCCCTTCTTGTCGTTCCCGTCGTCGCTGTCACTCGAGTCGTCGTCCTTGTCACGGCCCTCTAGCTTGCGTTGCGCTTCCTCTTCGTCCCGCTGCTGCTGCTCGCGCGCCCGGTCGCGGGCCTCCTTCGCTTCCTTCTTCCGCTGTGCCTTCTCTTTCTTAACTTTCAGGCACGCCGCAATATGCTGCTTTGCGGCGGTGGCGAGTACGCTCTTCTTGCAGTGCTTACACATTTGCAGGTTGAGCGCGTCTTCGAGTGGGCGGCCGGTGGCAAACGTTTCGCGTGCTGTCTCGTCGAGCTGGTTGACCACTGGGCTTGGTGAAGGCGCCGGGATGGCGGAGTTGGCATTCTTGCCCTTCTTCTTCTCTTCTGTTCGAGGACAAATGTTAACAACGGCATTGCAACAAACTTTTGCAAAACAACTGCAATACTTCTGTCGCCGTAGATGCAACTTACGATCCACAAACGTTCCCTCCTTCCAGTTGCCTGGCTGCTTATGCTTCGGCGGGGGCTTCTTCAGTTTGATGGTGCCGCTCGGCTTGGACGCAGTGCCACCTTCTTTGCTGTCCTTGCTGTCCTTATCCTTGCTGTCTTTGTCCTTCTTTGATGCCACCTTAATCGTAGCCTCCTCGTCGTTCTTCACCTTGGGTGTCCCGGACGCGCCGGCCTTTTTGCCAGCTGGCGTCGCCGGCGCCGGAGACGACGACGTGCCCTTGCGAGCGTCAGACATGATGAAGGAGGCGAGGTGTGTTTGGTCGGTGTGATGTGGGTTAGGTAGGTGTGCTTCGCGATTCGTCGTTGGCCCCCACCCGTCTGGCGAAATATGTAGCCAAGGAGGCACGCACTAGTGTCGATGATTGTCGATACAGTTCGATATAAATACAAAGTCGCGTCTAGAGCGACGCAGATGTTAATGGTTCGACAGACACAGCCGCAGAAACGGGTCCGGCGCGATGATTCGATGTTTGTCGTCGGCGCACGAGGTTGATAAACGACAGCCTGATTGCCGGTGGAGTGGTATGAAGGAGGAGGAGTTGAAGTGTGGATCTTTATCTGCAGATGCATATTGGATTTGAGGCTACCTTATCGGTCAAAAATCACGTGATATATATGCTATGACTAATCCACATTGACGTCGCTACTAGCTTAAAAAGCATACAAAGGGCACTGCCGCATGCATCAATGTCGAATTGACCATCAATTCCTCAAAACGCCTACTCCGAGTGACATGATATGTGCAGCGTTCAAACCGGAACATACCGGCTTTTGTACTTTTCTTTTCCCCTGCCGCAACCGTCCGGAACGCCCAGAAAACAAAACGCAGAAAAACAAGCGTGTAATAAAAGAAATAAAAACGATCAAGACACGCAGAGCAAGACAGTATCAGGCGGGGTCTGCTCTCACAAGCCTCCATTCGCACCCTGTTGCTGTTCGCCGACCGTGGCCATACGCCGCAGCTCGTACTCGCGGGTGAACTCGCGACTCAGGTGGCCGAGCGATGCTACCAGCTGTTTGCACACCTCGACAATCGCCTCTTTGGGCGTAATGGTGCCGTCTGTCTGGACGCGGAGCAAGACCTCTGCCACATTAGGGTGTGCGACTGACTGTGTTAGCAGGAGTCGCTCGGAACGTGCAAAAGAGAGCAGGTAGACGTACTCTTATAACCAGCCATGAGGACCTTGGGATGCATCTTCAGATGCTCCGCAAGAAGGTTGCCCAGCGTGTGATCCTCTTTCTTCATCAAAAAGTCCGAGGTGTTTGCCATGCCTGCGTACTGCCGTTAGAGCCTGGCCATGGACGATCTCGAATCGACGTCGGCATAGAAATGGGCCGAAACCTACCGGCAAATGGCGTCTCGGAAATCTTCTTCTCGCCATCGGCGAGGATGAACAGCTCGAATCTGTAGAGTTTGTTAGAGGCAATCGATCCAAATTACAAGTGTTATAAAGCGCAACTCTCTGCGTCGTCTTGTTGTGCATAACCTCTCAGGGACGTTGTTGTGGAAAATGCGAGTCATGCTTGAGCGCGTGCTTCTGGATGGACGTTTCGTAATAGGACGCAAAAAGTGGTAGGGCCGAGGACAGAAGCGAAGTGCACGGAGCGGGTGACGGGAAAGAGCAAACAACAGGAACAACAGAAGCAGACGTCGTATTGCATGTTGTGTTCCGTGAGGAAGGAGCGATGGACAGCTCTTTCCTTGTCATGCGCAGCAAAAAAATCCAGCATCAGATCCCAAGAGGCACACCTGCCATCTTTTTATGTATGTTTGCTCTTTCCATGGACAATTCCAATCCTTTGCTTCCCTGGCTCCTGGTAGACGATCGAGAAAGGAAAGTACCATCGAAGCACTGCTTGCCGACTGTTGCCTCACTTGAAGCGCATCTCCATCCAAGCGCGCGCTGAGGTACATCCCGGTCTACCAACACAACGACGTCTCGCGATCTGCGTAGTGTGAAGCTCGGCAGTGATGTGCAGCAGCAGCTGACTATCGTCCACGTACCTGTCGGGAGCGTTCATAGCGTCAACAACGATCGAGCCGTGGGAAAATTCGGGGCCACCGAGGTAGCTCGGTACGGAGGAGTGTAGAGAGGGATGGCGAAGCTGCGCAGCGAGATGCGACAGATTGCGACGGGCGTGAGAGAGGATGAGCCGATGGCGGTGTAGAACAGGCGAACGACGACGAGGTTGTGAGTGGAAGTGGAAGAGGGAGGTCGAGGATTTGGGAGCGCCAGGCCAGAAAGCGGCGCGAGGCTTCGTGAAAATTGGGGAAGGTGGTGGCGGCCAGCCAGTTATCATTCGCCCCAATTTCCATCTACCACCCACCACCGTGCTAGTACTACAGACAAACTACAAGCTGCGAATACACAGCACACTCGCAAGGCTAGCCAATCAGAGCTCTCTTCACACGACAACCACCGTCACACCTGATTACACAACTGAGCGGCATTGCTGCAACGATTGCTAGAGGCTTCACTGCGTATGGAATTACAAAATACCAGGCTATGAAATACAGATACAGTGCTGATTTGTGACTGATGATAAGCAACAGTCAGTAAATGTGGTGGCTGCGACGGACAATGTCCATCCAAAAGACAGAAATCGCATTAAGACAGCGAACTAGAAAGATAGTGGCCTTCGATCTATAGTATAATAGCCAACTGATCATGACGGGCCAGCACAGAGATGGTCGTCCTGAAGTTGCATCGCCTCAAATGCCTGCCAAAGAGAAATGAGAGGCACAAGAAAGAAAGGCAAGTGCGAGAAACATGCAGAGAAGATAAAAATAGATGGAAACAGAGACGCAAGGAAATGATGACGCATGGTGGGGTAAATGCGATATGTCAACAGTGACAAGAAATGAAAACCACGAGGCAAGGGGCTCGCCTTGTAACCAAGCACGAATAGCAGCTTCTTTCAACTCCAACACGCGAAGCTCATCAAGACGTTACTTTTTATCGCAGTAGCCGGGGATGGCAGGCTCGGTTGACGAGTTGGCCCAGCTCAGAATAGTCAAGCTAGTCGTGTAGGCCATGGCGATGAAGCCGAAGAAGCAGAGGACAAGGTCGCTGATCTTCCACAGCCGGCTGCGCGCCACGCTCTTGTAGTGCAGCAGGGGAGGATAGATGTACACCAGCGGGATGCAGGCAAAGTTGCCGACGAGGGCAACGAACTTGTCGAGGTTGTCAGCACCACCCCAGGCAATGGCCGCACAGCCCGCCACAACAAAGAAGCGGAAGACGTTCTTCTGCCACTTGATGTACGGGTTGTACTTGCCGCTGCGTGTGAACAGGCCGTTCTCCGTGATGCGAATGGCCGGGAAGATTTGCAGCGGCGTAGACAGCAGGATAGCCAGCGAATACAGGAACTGCACGCTGTTGACCATTTTGCTGCCCTGTGGCAGGTTCAGGAGCACCACAGTCTCCGTCTTGGAGCCGTACGCGGCGTACGACACGGCGCCCATCGTGACGAACACCGTCGTAATGATAATCATGACGGCGAGCATGACCTTGGGGAACTTTTCCGGGTGGCGCATCGACTCCTGAACGGGGATGATGAGGCCGATGCCCTCAAAGGTAAAGATTGCCGTGCCGATAAAGAGGGTCCAGCTGTCTTGGTTGAACATGGTAATGTCCGCCACGCCAAACTTGTCGAGAGTCAGGACATCGTAGTAGAACAGGTACGCGAGACCAATGACGATGAAGGCGTCAGCCACAAGCGCCGTGAAGGCCAACTTGTTGATGTCGCGCAGCAGCGAGAACGGCAGGAAGATGACCATCTGCATCAGAATCAGGTACTTGGTCGGGATCAGCGTCTTGCACTCGGTGACGGCGAGGATGACGGCTTGCAGGTTCTCCGAGGTGAAGACAATGTATGCAGCCACAAAGCCAACCTGGCTGATGACAATCGACGTCAAAATCATGAACCGCAACCATTTGCCATAAAGAATACCGCCAATGTCACCAAAGGAGCCCACGATCTTGAGCCGCGTCGTCACCAGCAGCACGAAGCAGTAGTAGCTCAGGGCCGCCACAAACAGCAACACCAGGTTGCTAAAGAGCATGCCACCGTTGAGGTACGCCCGCGGCAAGAACAGCACGCCCGTGCCCACAAACGACTTGAGCAGGACAGCAGCCGCGCTCATGGGGCTCGCCTTGCCGCTGCCGCCCCGGGACTTCCGCCGCCGTTTCCGCCGCGAGGGCGTCAGAAGCGCACTGTCTTCCATCGGCTCGCGCTCATCGTCCGAGCTGCCGCTGCCCTCACTGCTGCAGTACTCGCCGTCGGCGACATCCTGGCCAGACACGTCGTCGCCGGACGAGAAATACTCGCCAGGGTTGAGCACCTCGTCATCCTCTTCGAGCTCCTCGCCGGCAAAGTGGCCGTAGATGGACAAGAACTCGAGGAAGCTGGAGGTGAACAGTTGCGGCTGCTGCTGTGGCGGGCCCTGGTGGTGGGGGTGGGGGTGGTGGTGGTGAGCGTGGCGATGGCCGCCGTTCTCCTCGTCGTCGTAGGTGCCGTACCCCTCCTCGGCTGTGCGGCGGAGGTAGTTTCTGCGGAACCCGCCAGGAACTTTGATCGTGTTGATGTCGAGCACCTCGCTCTCGGGCTCCGGTCGCGGCATTATGAAACTCTTGCTGCGCTGTATCTTGTTCGTGGCCTCTTCCGTCCACTTGTAGATCGGCCTTGTGATGTCGCCGCCCTGCAGCCGCAGACTAGAGAACTCGTCGTCGTCAATGCCAGACGCGCCCACCGCACCCACCGAGTCAGTGTCGCCGCCACCCCCAGATGCGCCGTCGACGGCGCCGTTCTTCTGCGCAGTTTGCTTTCCCTTGGCATCGGCCGCACTCTCAGAGATGCTGGACGCGTCGGTGCGCTGCACCAAGTGTCTCCGCACAATCTCCGGGTCTTCGTAGGCGCCGCTCGTGCTTGCATACCGTTGTCTTGAGTCGAAGGAGCCAAAGTTTGTGGGTGTCAGACCGGTGCCGCCGACAGAGGGCGTGCTGCTAAAGTTGGTCGGCGCCGCAGCAGTCGAAATAGCAGCCGCTGAGGAAGGCGACGCAGGCCGCACAGCAGGGGTACCAAACCGCGGAGGAGACGTGCCAATAGAGTTTGAGAGTGCCATAGCCAGAGCAGACACGCCCGGTCCGGCTGAGTACGACGCACCGGAAGCACTTCCGCCAGCGAGGGGAGTCATGTTGCCTGAGGGTGACCAACGTCCCGAGCCCCCACGGCCACCGACGCCGGCCGCCGATGCAGGCGACGTGCCAAGATTTTGTACGGGATTTGCGAGACGGGCAGTCGTATCAGCTCGAGGTACAGAGGTGCCAAGGGACCGCGCGCGAAAGGAGCCGATCGGCGAGGACGCAGGGAGGGCCGCATTTGCACGGGGAGACGGTTGCGGAGCCGGCGAGCTCCGCCCTTTGTCACTCATGGCCGTGATAGTTGGCGGTAGTGAGAGAGGGGAGAAGGGTCGAGATAGAGACGTTTGAGGCTATCGTCGCATATCGGGGCGTCTGAGTCGAAGGAAACGGCGTCGGTTAGCGCTGAGGGGTACAGGCGACGACCGTCTGTTCCTATCGCGAGAACTGCAGCTGTTCTGCAGGAGGCCCTTCCGTGGCCAATGGCAGAGCCGACAGCAGATATGACAGCCGAGCTGTCAGCAAAGGCGTGCGTCGAGAGAGCGCCAGGCGAAAGCGGAAACGTTAAGAAGACGTAAAAATGAGATAGAAGCAATAAAAAAGGAAATCGAAGTGGCAAATGCCTAAAAGCAGCGGGCGAATAGTGGATGCAAATGCCTAACAACTGACAAAAGAGTCGACGCCGTGGGCGGGATGAGACAATGGGGAGGTGATGTGCGTTATTTGAAGACGCAATATTAATTGGAGAGGGGAGACAGCAGGATCGGAGGAGGTTGTTGATTGCTGCAGTATGACACGGGAAACGAGCCAGGCGACTGCCCGAAACAAGCGCCGGTGGTTGGTCGATTCACGCAGTGCCTGTGGCTCGTGATACCAAGCTCCGTCCTTATCTCGTCCTGCCACAGGTGGCACCTGCCCCGTAAAGTCTTGGTCTGTCAAGCTATCCGCAGGTGACTGTCAGGCGACCGGACCAGTAGCACGACGAAAATAGACTACTGAGGCCCTGGTCGGTCGTGCCTGCCCGCGCCGCCAGCGACCTCCACAGCCTAGCGGATCACTTTCCTGCTTACTAACTGAGTCATACAGCGAAAGAGGGCTTGTAAAACGCTGCTGTCCAAGCCGTATTAGTTCGCCAGTGTCCCCTTTTTCTCCCCATGTACGGAGTAAATCGTACAACTCTATAGCATTTAATTGCACAGCGTAGGACAAACGGAGAGGACAAGGATTTCGCTGCAGGAAACGGTCGGGGAAGCAGGAAACGGCTCCGACCTTTGATCCTTCCGTCGAGGGTTATCGTGCTACCGCTGAGACAATATGACGCAGTTGCCATTCTTGTCAAAATGCTCGCGCGCGAACCATTGCACCTGCCAATCTGCAATGAGCGTGCCTGCAGTCACCCATACTAGACGCGGAAGGTACGAGAGACGAAGGCTTGTAAACAGAACCATGGAAAGAGCTCTTTAGAGCTGAAAGGCCTCTGTCTCCATTTCAAAATACACATCCTTCGTTACCTCATTCACGTTGTTCTCAAGCAAGACATTCCATTGGTAAACAACACCCTGCCTTGAACCCGCCAAGCCGCGCTCCCCCAAGCGCCCTGGCACAGGGCGACCAGCTCCACCTTGCCAAACCAACGCAGCTATGACCATGCTGTCGCGAGATGTCAGGCCAAAATGGCCTCGGATTGAGCCTCGTATCAAAGGTTGAAAGGTAGCTTTTTCTCGGTCGTTTTAAAGCTCTCAAATTGAACTCGCTCTCGCGCTAACCTGGGTCCCGTCATACATGTGCAGTATCGAGCCTCCGAGTGTAGCTGCAAAAACCTTGGAAATCGCAAGGACCACGGGCATTGTCGATCCCTGGTCCGGTTAAGTTTCCATCTATGCAGACCCAGATCTTGCTTGCATTCTCCCCGCAGCGTCGACAACATCTCGGCTTCTCATAGCTGCCACGAATTTTCTGGGATATCCCGGGATTGATGATTACTTTTTCAAACCTTCCGTGGCCTTATTCTCACAACTTCTCAAGTATACCATCGTCAGCAACCTCGACTTCGAAACGTACTAGAAATCAAGCCACTAGTATTCGCGTCGGCAAACGCGCATGGCACCCTTCGGCATCTCTCTTGGCGTCTGGTGAGCCTTCGGCGAGCGCATATACCTCCTCTACCTGTCATGGAACGAGTCGAGCGCGAGCACGGTGCCAAGAAGCACAAGCTGGGCGTCGTTTCCGGCGTCTATGTGCCTGTCTGCCTCAGCATCTTGAGCATTCTCATGTTCCTGCGTTTTGGCAGCATCCTTGGACAGATTGGCCTCTTGGGCATGCTCGGTAAGCAAAGTCCTATCCACCTGTTTTGTTATTCTTTACATAGGCCTAACCATCTACTCAGGTCTCTTCGTCGTGTCATATCTCGTCGATTTCGTGACGGCACTGTCCCTCTCGGCTGTCGCTTCAAACGGCGAGGTTAAGGGCGGTGGCACGTATTATCTCATCTCTCGGTCCTTGGGACCCGAGTTCGGCGGCTCCATCGGCCTCTTGTTCTACCTCTCCCAAGTGCTCAATACCGCACTCAACGTCGTCGGTCTCATCGACTGCATCGACCTCAGTTTCGACTCGCTTGTACTACACGGCTACTGGTGGGGCTACTTTTCTCAGACCGTCGTTTTGGTCATCTGCACATCGCTATGCTTCGCCGGCAGCGCTCTCTTTGCTAAGGCAAGCAATGGCCTTCTTGTTGTCCTTGCCATCGCAACCCTGAGCATTCCCCTGTCTGTGCTCGTTCGGACGCCCTTTACAGACCCAGTGAGCGGCGTTGAGTTCACCGGCATGCGGCTGGCCACGCTCCGGTCCAACCTCTTCCCCCATTCTGGAGAGGACTTTGCCTTCCGTGGTCTCCACACATTTCGGGACCTGTTTGGCATCCTGTTCCCTGCCACGTCTGGCATCTTTGCCGGTGCATCGATGTCGGGTGATCTCCGGAATCCGAGCAAGTCCATCCCGGCCGGCACCCTCTGGGCCATGGCCTCTACACTTTCCTTGTATCTCGTCGTGATTATGTCACTAGCCTCCAGCACAACGCACATGTCGCTCTTAACGCAGCCGAACATCATCAAGGAAACCAGCCTGTGGGCACCTATCATTTTGGCTGGCGAATGCGCCGTGACATTCTTCTCTGCCTTAATGGGCCTTATCGGAGCGTCCAAGCTGATGCAGGCTCTTGGTAGAGACAAGCTGCTGCCCGGTCTATCTGTGTTTGCGTGGGGCACGGAAAAACACGACGAACCTCTTCTTGCTCTCCTCATGACGTACGCAATTGCCCAGCTGGCGCTCTTTGCCAACCTCAACCAAATCGCCACCTTCATCTCCATGGGCTACATGGTGACATTTTTTGTCATGAACCTGGCTTGCTTCTTGCTCAAGATTGGGTCCGCACCCAATTTTCGGCCGGCTTTCAAGTTCTTCAGTTGGCAAACGGCCCTGCTTGGCAGTGTTATGTCGGCCGCTGCCATGTTCTTTATTGACGAAACCTATGCTACCTCGTCTGTCATTTTGCTTGTCATGCTTTTCTTGTTGATCCACTATCTCTGCCCGCCAAAACGCTGGGGTGATGTCTCGCAAAATCTGATCTATCACCAGGTCCGCAAATACTTGCTCCGTTTGAAGCCCGAACACATCAAATTCTGGCGGCCTCAAATCATTCTATTGACCAACGACCCCCGTCGACAAACTCGCCTTATCCAATTTTGCAACTCGATGAAGAAGGGCGGCCTCTATATCCTAGGCCACGTCATCGTCACGGATGACTTCACGACAGGCGTCCTAGAAGCCAAGCTACAACAGACCTTGTGGTCGCAGTACATTACCGAATATTCTCGCATCAAGGCCTTCGTTCAGCTGACCATGTCGCCGTCGATCACATGGGGCGCACGAAATCTCATCTTGGCAAGTGGCCTGGGTGGCATGCGCCCGAATATTGCTGTTTTGGGGTTCTACAACATGGACGAACTCCGCTCGACAAATCCTGTCCTAAGGATTCCAGAACTGCCATTTTCAGATGCCGCAGCCATTCCGGCAGGACGAGCCGCAGGAACGGCAACAGATCTGCCGTTGAAGGCCAGCAATACAGCGGTCATCCGGCCACGACGGCGCCGTGGTGATACTACATCTAGGATTCTGGAAGGCGTCTTGCCAACAGATGTGATCAAGACGGAAGGCATGATGAAGGCCACCGAATATCTCACCATTCTAGAAGATCTGGCCTTGCGGCACCGCATCAATGTCGCTGTTGCCAAGGGATTCCACAGCCTGGAGACGCCGCGGACAGATGGGACTAACACGAAGAAGTACATCGACCTGTGGCCCATTCAAATGTCAGCGGAGCTCGAAGCCGATGGCAAGAGCGTCCTAACAACAAACTTTGATACATGTAAGTGTCCATCCAGCAAAATGCCATGGGCCACTATCTAACACTATTCTGCCAGACACATTAATTCTCCAGCTCGGGTATATCCTCCACACTGTCCCGGCCTGGAAGCGAGTGTACAGTCTACGCGTCATGGTATTTGTTGAGTACGAAAATGAAGTCGAGGAAGAACGTGGAAGAGTAGAAGCGCTGCTTGAAAAGCTACGCATCACTGCCGAGGTACATGTATTTTGGCTGGCAAGCGGTGATCTGACCACCTACGAAGCCATTGTCCAAGGCGACGCCGACCCATCCATTGAAAAAATTGTGGATGATGTATTGGGGGACTCTTTGTGGTGGTCAAAGCTACAAGAAATCCGCGGAAAAGGTACACCGCGGCGAAACAGCGGGAATGATGACAGCTCTTCAGTCGCAAATTGGAAAGACGACGTACGCAGGCGACGTCCAAGCATCGCGCACATCGAAGAGCTGCAAAAGCACCAGACTGTGTCAGCCCTGGCTCGCTTTGGCGTGAGCTTGGGCATCCGCACACAGAACTTGGCCGGGCAGCAGCCTGCTTATCCACACTATAATCGCGACGACAACGGTGACGAATATAGCAGTGCGATCAGTGACACCAGCTCCACGTCCGATGAAGAAGATTTTAACGCCACCGACTTCAACGATGTTGAGAGTGCGGCTACCGAAGGCGACATGGACGATGTGGACGACGAAACAGATGCCATTCGTCGTCCGCTTCTGGCGGCACCTAATCGCAGAAAAAGCCACGGCGATGCATTCGCCCAGAGACCAACATTGCGCCGCAAAAAGACAGACGAGTCAAAGCGTGCAAAGCAGTCAACGTTTACATCGACGGACCCTTCCTCACTTACGCCTGCTTTCATGCCATCGCTCAACACCGCTTCCGATGGCACCTACGGCACCATGTCAACCCCAGCGCTATCTTCACTCAGTAGCCAGTCTGGCGAAGACAAGTCTCGACAGCAACAAGACACCTCCTCGTTGGCGGTATATGGCAAACCACGTAAGTCCAAACAGTGTCCTAGTATTACGGGACGAATGTCTACTAATTTGCCGCCCCTTGCACCTGCAGCGCCAACATCGTCGTCTATACGCTTCTCGAGCAATATTGTGCCAGAAACTCGAATTACGAATCCCGAAGACTCGGGTCGCACAATCATGTTTGCTGAGATATCGGAGTCGAATCGGCCAGAACGTCCGCCGTTTTCGCGGACAAATTCGCGACAAAGCCGTGTTAGTCTCGCAGAATCCGCGACGAAGAAACGTTCCAAGGCAGCGACACCACGACCATCCGTCTCGTTTGCTGAGCCAGAAAGAGATTTGTCCGCACAACAAGAGCAGCGACCGCATCGTCCTCTCCTCTCACGACATTCGTCAACGCCAGTCGTGCAGCGTGCATCCTTCACCGAGGACGACTTAGGAGAAGAAAATGGCGGCGACGACGTTCGCATCGGCATCACGGACCTGTTGGCCGACTACAAGTCCCGGCAGCGTGTTGATAGTACCGCCAGCGGTAAAAGTAGCGGTAGCAATGACAGCACCGACGACAGGAGTGGAACTGGCTCAAGCTATTCTACTCAGGACTTGGCCCTGTCGTTCAACGACCTACCATGCCGAGCACAGCACCTAATCTTGAACGAGTTGATGCGACAGCACAGCGGCGAAAGCGGCGATCTGTCAGGCGGTGCTGCAGTCTTATTCACAACGTTGCCGATTCCAGACGAAGGCACCCATCGTGACGAGAGTGCCAGCGTGCAGTATTTATCAGATGTCGAGCTGCTCTGCCAGGGGCTGCCTCCAGTGCTCATGATTCTGAGCAACAACATGACGGTCACGGTCAGCCTCTAGCCCTTCGATTTGCTGAATGCGACCGGAGGCACTATTTCTGGATTCGAGGATAGCCGCAACGGGTTGGCTTCGCAGGCGCCCTCTTTATTTCTTTGACCTATTCGTTTTCACAGACAAAGCGGCCTGTACTGCTGTTGAAAGAACCACCAACCGCAGCAACCACCATACGACAAAGAGCATTCGGGGGTGTTCAACACGAACCTTTGTCCACCAGCCTGCATCGCCATTGGGCGTCTTCGAAAGTAACAAAACCCGCACCACGCCGCCGTCAAACGCTGGTTGAGGGGAAATAAGAAGAAAGATAGATCGTCTTGTTCAATCATGAACAGCATGGATATTTGCAGTTCATACCTTTTTCGATGAACAAATTATGACTGTTGTGCCTTATGATCTGTATTTCGCATCGCCATACCCCTTGCCCTTTTAAAAGTGACGACTTTCTTCTCTAATTTGTTTTGTTTTCTACACTTCACAAATGAAAACCCCACTTAAACACCAAAGTGCACCCGTTGCAGCAAGAACAGCTGATAGCAGCAACTCCCGCAAACACTGTCACAGCCACAACCACAGTCACAACAGCACCATCGGGCACTTCTTCCAGGGCCTCACACATCGACTACGAAACGACACACCAAATCGCGCCCAGCAACAAACGACAGCCAGGAACAGTTTCCATATCGTGCACCTCCCTGACCGTCCAGTCGTTCCTATCCTGCCATCCGACGCCCCATCTGAAGACGAGTGCCGTGTCCTATTACAGGAACTCCAGGCAGGCGACGGCTTCTTCAGCCAAAGAGCGATATCCCACCAAGAGGTGAGTCCATAAAGGGAGAAAGCTAGAATGATGAAAGGCCGAGTACGTGAGCAGGCGGAGCAGGTCGCGCATACACAAACAGTTGTGAAAACCCAAGAGAAAGGACCCTCTCCGCGCAAGCATGCTCCAGCCTCGTCATCTTGTTTTTCTTCACCTTCCAGGCGCCAAACTTCCCATTCGGTGATCCCCCCAGCACCTTTGACAGGCAGTCGCACTTCTCCACGCAAAATAGCGCCCACTTCTCAAGCAAGATTCACGGCCGCTACATCATCTTCTCGTACCTACTCCTCTTCCGCGGCACCAGGTCCAGCCACTTCAGCTAACACAGCGCGTCACCACCAGACAAGAGTTTCACTCCCAAGTGATCTTCCGCAACCAACATGGTCAACAACTAATGTTGCATCGAGGCCCAGTACTCGCAGCAATACCAGCACCGTGAGGAGCAGAACAAGTGGCACAAGTGGCACCAATAGCAGCACTGCCAGCGGTGGCGACAGCGGTGATGACAGCCGCATTCAGAGGGAGCCAAGCAATAACAGCAGCCGGTCTACGCAACCCCGGAGAACGTCGGGGCGACCGCCAACACCCATCCACGTTAATACGGCGAGATTCTATACAAATCGGCCCCTCCCGCACATTCCCCAGTCGCCAGTCCACCCGCCGTCACCAAGCCAACAATCGCCTCACCAGCCGCCATCACGCCAACAGACACCGCGCCAGATTCGTCCTCCGCCTCCCCTCTCTGCGAGGCCGCTTCTCCAGCGTCGCCCAATCTTGCCACCCCATGAGCTGGTTTCGTTCGCCGAGCGTGTTGCCCGCGATCAAACTGGCCAAAGCATTAACCTTCCCCAGCCCGTCAGAGTCGGAGTTTCCAACAACGTGCACGTACTTCCACCTCGCCAAATCCTAATAGACAGCCAGACATATGATGAGACGCATCCTTCCAGGAATGGAAACTACCAAGGACAAACGGGGCCGTTGACAGGCGCAGATAATAACATGACGGGACAAATCCGAGGTAATACGGAGCCACGATGGCAAGAACGAAAGCCGAGCTCCCCGCCGCGCCCACCGCTGCCACCACCACTCTATCCGTCTGCACCGTCCCCGTCACAGCGACCGTTGTCACTGCCTCAGCAATCCCAGCACAAGAGAAAAAACAGTCTACCACGGCATCCCGAGCTCTGGGTGCCCCGAATCTCTTCGCCACTGCGGCAAGCACAGCTCTCGAGCCCGTATCAGGCGCACAATCTGGAACCGCAAAATCTCCCGAGCCCACGGCCAAATTCAGCAGACGTCTCTCCACTAACACCACCTCCCCAGTCCCCGGCGCGTGACAAAGCTTTGAGTCGAGAGAAAAAACCGCTTTTCGCGATGCCCGATACCGGACCTCAGCCGTCCATATACGGCACACAGGATCCTGCCATTGTCGAGGCCCTCCAGGTCGCCGAGGAGGAAAAAGGCGAACCCCTCCTCGAGTGGGAGAGTGAAACAATCAAGGCAAGTAGAGGGAGCAGAACGAGGCCTCCCAAGGTCCATTGTCGCTCTGTATTTTGCCGCTGGGAGAAAGACCCCTGTGCTAACCGTGCGGCGTCCGAGTCGTCTTCGACGGCTCTCGCCTTTTTGCTCAAGTCCATGACCGGTATGCCATCCAAGGAGCAGAAGAAGATGTGCATCGTGTCCATTGGCTCTGTTAGTCAAAAACGCCTTCAGCCGTCCAAAGCAGTTGCCGCTGTGACCACTGTGCCTGTAGTCCTGGCCGTCGACTACGAGGCCCGGGCCCAACAGGCGCTTTTGTACGAGAATGATGGCAGCAGCAACGACGGCAGCAGCTGTAGCGACTACACGACCATATGGCCAGAAAGCTCGTACTATTTCAGCAGCAACCCGGGGACAGTCATTGAGAAGCGGCACCGCAACCAGCCGACACCCACAAACCGAAGCAGCAGAAGCAGAAGCAACAGAAACAGCGCGGAAAGCAACGCACTCAAAAGAGAATCACACGCCTCGAAAACAACCGAAACGTGCCAGGTGCACTTTTCTCCACCGTTGTAATTTAGAATTAGTTTATGGTCGCTCTGTTTTCTTCACGTGTTCTCTATATCCCCCCACAACTTATTGTTTATAAAATGCAACGCCTATATTATTCCCAGTGTAATCTTTATAATATCAAATGAGACCGTATGTCTCGTATGGTACTTTACCAAAACGCCTTCTAGTGTATCATGTATGTAATTCGTGAACTAACCCCACCTGTCCCAGCTTCTTCTCCCTCATGCAATCTTTGTAACCGCCAACGCATCCGTCGCTGCGCCTGCGTCGCCGGCCAGGGCCACAAAGTCGCCCGTCTGCAACTTTTTGGTCCATTTAGTGCTCTCATATCGGGCCAAAATCATCGTCATGCGCAGGGGCGCGTGCTCGCTCAATGCGTGCTCGTCTATACCCGGTGCCACGGGCGTAATTGTCCAACGGCCAAAGGCCCAGTTGAGAATGTAGCGTGCTGTTCCCGTCTTCCCTGTCGAGGCAGACGTTTCTGCTGTTTCTTCTGTCGATGGGTTCACATTGATACTGTCGTCCGAGTTCGCAAGCTGCGACGCCGATACAGCATCGACGGAGAGCACGGCCTTGATGCGGTATACCTCGTCCTTGGAAGCCGACGACAGCAGCTTCGACAGCTTGGCGACGTCCACAGACGCGTTTTCGCTGTCCCCCTTGAGCGTTACAGAGAGCACCTCGACCTCGGACTGGTGGTCGTCCTTGTGCTCGTGGTCGTGGTTGTGGCTGTGGTCGTGGCCGTCTGCAGAGCCATTGGCATGGCCATTGCTGTCGCCGTTCAGCTTGGGCGTTCCATCGCCTAGTGCTTTGGCCAGCAGTCCGCCATCCACGCCAAAGACCAGCCCCGCGTCCACCCAGCCGCGCCGGCTCTTGACCCACGCCACGTCGTCTGTGTGCAGATCGCCGAGCCGGTCCAGGCACACATCAAAGCGCTGCTCGTTGCACGCCTCCCACTTGTTGAACACAATCAGATCCGTGTACCGCGCCTGCAGCTTGGCCGTGTAGCTCGTGTCCTCGTAGCCCGCCCAGTTCTCAACATCAATCACGCTGACGACGCCGTCGAGCGCAAAACGGCCGCCCGTCGCCCGCGCCAGGCGGTTGACTTCGAGCGCCAGCGTCGCGGGAAAGGCAGACCCAGACGTCTCGACGACAATGCGCGACGGGATTCCTGCACCGTCGCCCTTGTCTGCCGTCAGCTCCTCCAGCGCGTCGCCCAGCTGGCCAACGAGGTTGCAGCAGATGCAGCCATTCAGCAGCTCGCGGACACCGGCGACTGCGCTCGACGCGGCAATCTGGGAGTCGACAGCGAGGTCGCCAAACTCATTCTTGAGCAGAGCCAGGCGGTAGTTGGGGTTGGCGGCGCGCAGCTGAGGGATCAAGTTGAGAATGAGTGTCGTCTTGCCGGACCCGAGGAAGCCCGTGACGATCGTGATGGGAATCGGTGCCATTTTAGTTGGTGAGATGAGAAGGTTCGCAGAGTTTTATTCGTTACTGTCCTCATAGAGCATGATATTGTCGAACAAACCAAAATGGGGAAAAAAAGGAAAGAACATGCAATTTACAATCCCAGGAAAGCAGTTATGATGTGTATCGCAACGGATTGTCCAAATGGTGGGATGTTGAGATATTTTGTGAAACCCGCTCTCACCGCCTTCTAGTTTAGGTAACTGTACCTGACTACAGCGGATTCTGCCGCTCCCGCCGCCCAAGTGTTGGCTTTTGTCAGACATCCAGACGGCCAGCATAACAAAATACGACAAACTACGGCAAGAAGTATCTCATACTAGGCATATTTAAGAAGAAACGGCAAAGGATCATTTCGTCGAGTGCGAGTACACTTAAGTTGGGTCTTACCGTTCATACTGTGCTTAGACGGCCATATCAGAAATGACGTCATAACTGTGAAACGCTCTTTCCTTTGGCGGATTTAAAGTTCAGTGTCAAGTCCCTGAAAATTGGTGACTATTAAGGCAGGAGCAAGCAAATCATGACAATATTCATTCCACAAGCGACAAAAGCGCGTCAAAGAAAACGTGTTTTAATTGAAGAAACGAAATATTGATGAGACCCATTGGGTTCGGTTCAATCCAATAAGTCCAAGACAATGCCTCCGTAAAAAAGATGGCTCACCAGGGCGATGAGCAAAGAAGCGACCTGAGGAAAGGGTACAAAAGGTCGTGAAGCGAGTGAAAGAAAAGAAAAGGCCCAAAAGTAGAAAAACGACAAATCAAATTCCCTTAAGACAAAAGAAATCAAGTAACAGCAACTCCTTATGAATCCATTATGAATGACAAAGTCGGCGAAGAATCCCAAGAAGATATTTACAGAAGGAAGGGGCCGACCAGCAGGAAGGCAGCGCCCGCCAGGGTCAGGGAGTTCTTGAGCGTGGCCGAGCCAGCCGTCACGACCGCGGTAGCATGAGCCGAAGCGCTGGCCGAAGCGCGCCCACCCGAACCAGTGTTGGTGCCGTTGTGCCAGGTGCTGGAGCACTTGCCGTTGATGCAGACGGTGGTGCCGGAGTTGCCGTTGGAGTTGGCGTTAGCATTGGCCGACGATGACGACGAGCCGCCGTTGCCACCTTTGCCGCCAGCGTTCGCGTTCGCATTGGCGTTGGCGTTGGCAGAGGCGCTGCTCGACGAGCCGCCATGGCCGCCCTTGCCGCCAGCATTGGCATTGGCATTGGCGTTGGCCGAGGCGCTGCTCGACGAGCTGCCATTGCCGCCAGCGTTTGCGTTGGCATTGGCGTTGGCGTTGGCAGAAGCGCTGCTCGACGAGCCGCCATTGCCGCCAGCGTTCGCGTTGGCATTGGCGTTGGCCGACGCACTGGCCGAAGAGCCACCGTTGCCGCCAGCATTCGCGTTGGCATTGGCCTCAGCGTGGGCATCGGCAGAAGCAGAGCCACCGCTACCGCCCGCGTTGGCGTTGGCATTGGCATTGGCGTTGGCCGAGGCGGACGAGCCGCCGTTGCCGCCCGCGTTGGCGTTGGCAGTGGCGTGGGCTTCGGCCGCGGCCGTGGCGGTCACACCGTTGCCGCAGATGGAGACGCTGCCGGTCTGCTTGCTGGTCTCCACGGGGCAGGTGATGGTCACGGGAGTCTCATTGCAGATAACAACGGTCTCGACAAAGTTGGGAGGGGTGGTGGGCTTGGTCCAGCTACCCGAATCGCCGCAGACGACCTCAATGATGGTGTAGGTGGCATCCCAACTAGTGGTGGCATCAGCAGCCTTGGCACAATGAGTGTAGGTGGTGGTAAAGGTCTCCGTGGTAGTGGCAGTGGTGGTGGTGGTGGTGGTGGACGGGTAGATGGTACCGTTGTGCACGGCAGCGCTGGACGAAAGAGCAGACATTTTGAATGTGGTTGTGGGGGTTTGTGTTTGAAAAAAGAATGTGAAGATAAGCAAAAGTAGAAAAGATTAAAAGAGTGGCCTGAGCTATAGAGCTGCAAATAAACGAGTGACTGAAAGGAGTGTCGAAGAAGATAATTGTCGAAGCTTTGTTGGATGATGAGAAGAACGAAAGCTGGACGAACAACAGGCGAGAGAAGCGGCCTTCATATAGTCGTTCAGAAGGACGGGCATCGCGAGATCGTGCCTCGACTAAAACAAGCAACATGCGAGGGAAACGCCGGCGAAAGGGAGGCACGTTGCTGCAGAATCGCGTGCCTGGAGCACTGTTCATTAGGCAGAGAGCAAGAAGTGCGGAGATGCGTCCGTCGTATGATTTTTTGGCATTGGTCCAGGGCGTGAAGAATGGGCGGGAAATTCAGTCACATTCTTAGCTGCATCAGACGATGCCTCTGTCGAATCTACGGGTTGCATCGGGGCCAATCGCATGTGCCACAGCAGAAGCATTCTTGGGCGACCGCTAAGGCCTGCAGAGGCATCCGGCGATGCATAGCAGCGCTGGCCTCGCTGCCATGCGATTGTGGTGTCAGAATAATTAAGAAGAATTAAGACCATGAAAAAGAAATGAATACGAGACTTGGCCGCCTGTTCTTAGATCGTGCACCCACATAAGGACGATCTGAAAAGGACAAAAGACACAAGGCGCGAAACAGAACACTGGTTCAGACGAATGACAAAGTAAAAGCACAGAGGACTATGGAAACACGCGCCGCCGCTAATGGAAAGTGGTGAAATCCTGCATGTTTGTGCCCATTGGTACAGCTGAAGAGTGGCAATGTTGACGATGTTGACGACGTTGACGATGTGGAGTATAGTCACAGGCCAGCTTGACAGGTTCGCTTCCAGACCAAGAAGCAACAACATGTCCAAATAGCTTGCGTACTTTGCAGCGTGCGAACGACGATCTAATCAGCGTCCTCGGAAAGTCTACTTAGCTGGTCATGAGTAGTCTCCTTATGCTTACCTTGACAGCAAGGGAGACCACGATGCACGGTGTGCTGACAACAACACGCAAGTTGGCCAGGAACGTGGCCGGGAGCTGGTCCCGCACCAAAGTGTTAAAAAGGCCTACTAAAGCCATACGCAAAAAAGAGATGAAGCGAGGACGCCAGGGAGATCACACCACCGCGGCTGACCGGTATGCGGCTCGCAAATGAAAAGCAAAAGTACAAAAGCAAACGGGATAGAATGCAGACGGGGCAAATAAGCAAAGCAAAAACGAGACGAGGAAAGGGAGACGCGACTTTGCTTTTCAGGGTCGCTGCATTCTGTGTCAGCCGGGCAAACGAGCAAATGACATCGCAGTCAGGCATAGTACTTCCACCTTCTGTTTGGCCGCCTGGTCGTCTTCGACATGCCGCTCAAGGCGCGCTTATATTTATCGCTGGAATTTAATCCGACTTAAGCCCGTCATGTTGCACTCGTATTATTCAAAGTCCGGCCACGGAATGCATCGCAAATTGGCTGTGAACATGCGGGATACGGGTACGCAAACACGAAGCGTGCAGAACGAGGACATAATCTGTACGTCCTACGTTGTCCCGGTCGTGAGAAGAATAGCCAAGGCGCTCAGCGTATGGTACGATATGCAAAACTGGCGATGCATGACTGGTTCTGAGATGTATCCGAAATTTCGACATTTGCGTGCTCATGGCCCGAGGGCGAGACGACAAACTTCCTATCGTGGACTTCAATCTGCAGAGGGATCCCTTCGGAGAAGGAATACAAATCTAGCAACGCATCACCGTGGGTTTGGAATTTCGAGATGATGGTCGTGGCGCCTCTGGGTATACTTTTTGATCTGAGGGAGAAAAAAAGAAGAGAAGAAAGCGAGAAAGATTTTCGGCGGCAGGAATGCAATGAAATAGTGGTTCTGGCAGGAGTGGGGCTCTGCTGCAAAGGCGGTGGAGGAAGGTGCGTGCAAACAAAGATTCAGCCGCGTTTTGGTGGACACGTGACTCTTATCCACGGCCACAACTGCCAATCGATAAGAGCAAGGCGCCACTGGCGTCCAACATCCAACGTCCAACGTTCTTTCCTCTTCGTCGTATTTCTCCAGCCCATCGCCCCAGCTGCATCCAGACTCGGCAGGACCTCTCACCTCCATTCCTCTGGGCTTGGGGTATGCGTCTTGCGTTTCTCGCGCCTGTCTACACACAAAACAACCGGCGCGCGTCTCTCGAAAACACAGCACTCTTTCGCGTCGGAACCGTGTTCTCTGGTCCCCGGGACCAAGGAGCCGTCGTTCCGCGCTCCCCGTCACAAGACACAAACAGTGTCCCACATAGGTCCCTGCAGGAATTAGGTTCAAGAACCGTTTAAGTTTTGTGGGGAGAGGCTTCCCAGCCATACCAACATACACACACACGTTTACGTCCATAAACACTGGCCATGCCGTCTGGCGAGTACGCGTCTGCGAGCGGCGGCGCATTGCGGCTGAAAGGCGCCAAGGTGGAGAAGCACAGAAGCAAGAAGCACAAGAAAAAAAGAAGCAGCCGGGACAAGGACACGGAGGGCAGCCGGGCACGCCATGCTGAGGACGAGCTGGAGCAGGTGGTCTCTGGCGGTGAGGACCGGGACAGGAAGAAGCAGAAGAGCAAAACGAAGGACAAGGAAGGCAAGGACGGCAGTGACAACGAAGACTACGACGATGACTATGACGACCTGAAAAACGACCCGTATGCGCGCATGACGCCTGCAGAGCGCCAGTTCGCCGAAGCACAAGACAAAAAGGTAAGCCAGTCGCCCGTGCGCATGCGGGGCTAGTGTTTGGTAAACGAAGTTGCGATCGTCTCTTTCCTCTGCTAACCATTAGATCCGTGATTTGATGCACGCATCGCCCGAGGAGGCACGCGCCGCACGCCCTGAGCTATTCAAGTCCCACAAGGAGCGGCTCGCGGATCTCAACAATTACCTATCACGCCTTAGCGAACACAACGACATGCCCAAGATTGGCCCGGGGTAGAGGGAAAGAAGATCTCAGGTTGTAGAGCCAAACGATTGGCGCAGTGGAAGGACGGGAACAAAGGTCTGTTGGAATTTGACAAGAGAAAACAGATGGGAGATCATAACAGAACGGTGATGCTGGTAAAACTATTTGCTTTTAGGCGTCCATTGGTTTGTTGATATAATTTCTTATTTTGGCGTACATGGTATACCGCGGTTTCGAAGGTGAGGCGTCCTGCTTTTTGGCTTTTTTGAAAATATACATTTAATTTATAGCAATTAAAGGTTTTGGCTTTTTGGTCTTTTTATAACTGGGGTGATTGGTTCAATTTCTTTTGATTTTTGGCATTTTACCTATTCCGGGGCTTTTCATACATATATTTTTATATGACTTGCATTTTTGTTCGCTCCGTTTCTATGTCTTTATTTTTTTTTTAAAAAAAGAAGTTATCATTTCAGGATTTAAAACGATCCTTCATGCTGCCGTTTTATTTATCCACTCCGGGTTTACAAGAAACAATTTATTAACTCTAAACTCTAAATCTTTCTTTTGTGGGCACATCCTTTCGTCTAATTGTAAACATATAACAAGGCCATGGACAGTAAACATTGTACCATATCAGTGTCGGTACATAATTCGATATCAATGTTTTTACTCGTCTAGTTGCAATGAACGCCGCCGTATGTTGTGTTCCCAGAGACATTCGCCTCTCAGATCTCCGTAGGAAAAGATCTACAGTAACAAGCTCCGAGGCCAGGCACCGCCATCCCTTTCTTCGTTGGACAACCAAAATATCCAATCCGACCCCGAAGCAAGGAGCATAGTCTCGCGCGTTGTGCCATTGCGTGTTTTTCTGTACTCTTTATTTCGGAACTGTCGACGAAAGATTAGAGCAATGCTAAAATGCATACCGTTAAGTAGCAGCTTCCTCACCCACGAGTCTTAGACTTTGTTGCTGCGTGCCAGAGGGGATTCTTCAGACATTGTGGAGGAGAGTATTTAATTTTAACACACTGCACAAAATCATGATTGTCCGCCGTGCCAGAGGTACTCTTCGTCCGATTGTATTCTACAATTCAGGTGCAAGCTTCGAAGGTCGCTGTACAGCTTGACTGTCAGGCATGTGTGGCACATTTTCGTCCACGAATCAGCTTCTAGTCTCCACGGCCCGTGGTTGGTTGGATTTTGAGCGCGCTGGGTACTTTTCAAGAACGCGTCGAGTATCTTTTGAACTGGTTATTAAACTGTAGTATTCTATTCTCCGTGTTTTGTATGTCCTGCGACCTATGTAGTACTCGTGAATCCAGAGACCTAAAGAGGCTATTCTCGATAGGAATAAAAAAGCAAACTCAAGTCCAATCAAACAATGATAAACGCCCCGTCCATGCAAAGGAATGTGGTAATGTGGTGTAAAACAGGCTCAAAGAAAGTAAACAGTTTGGGCTGACGGCAATGATGCAAAAGGAGTGACAAGGAGGGGGAATCAAAAGAGAGAGACAGAGAGCAGTAGCAAATGATGTAAGGAAACGACAAATTAGAAAAAATGAAATAGAAAATTTGAGAGCGGGAGGATCGTGATTTAAAAGGCCATAAAGGGCAGCGAGCAGAATTGAGCACATTGCATCTGACGCGCCGGAGGAAAGGATAACAGAAGGGAGCAGAAACGCAATACCCAAATCGCCCAGTGAACAAAAATTCAGGATGGCCACAGGTAAGAGCAATGACAGGCCGCTGTTTGTGGGGTAGGAATCGAGGTCTGCCAGTTCTGCACCGTGTCATTGCCTGCAGGTGCTGATTTGATCTCTTGTCATTTCATCCCCAACGCCTGTTCGTCTGCGATGCTTAGATTAGCATGGCACCGACAATGACACCGGCGACGGCCTCGGCGAAGCGGGCTTTGTTTCCGGCTCCCATGGGCACGGCGGCACCCGTTTGCAGGGTGCCCGAGTTCGTGGGAGAGCCGGCAGAGTTGGTGGGTCCGGCACCGACAACGGACGTGGCTGTCACGACGGTGGGCGTGCCGTTGACGGTCGACGTAAAGACGTTTGTGACCCTCCTGCCGGAGGTGGTCGTATCCGACGAGCTGGACTTGGACGTGGTGTGTGAGGACGTCGACGAGGCCGATGTGGGTGAGTTCTTGGACGTCGACGACGGCAGTGACGTCGTACTGTCGCTCTTAGTCGGGGTCGAGGAGGGCGTGGAGGAGATAGGTGCGGTGCTGGACGTCGAGCTGTTCAGGTCGCGCCGGGCCAGCTGGACAATGGATGTTGCCAAGGCGGCGTTCTGACGGTGGACGGCCTCGAGGGCGTGCTTTTCCGAGGGGTAGACGCCATGCTTGTAGGTGTTCGGCAGATACTCGTGCAGCAGGTCGTGTAGGGCCTCGGGAGAGACGGCCTCGAGCAGGCGAGAGAAGCTGCTGCCGGTAGGAGCGGCGCCGTCGGCGACAACAACCGCGGCGCCGTTCCGGTGGGCACCGCCAACGCTGTGGGCACCGCTGTGCTTGCTGCAGGGGCGGGCGTGACGAATGGTGCCGATGGCGAGGGAGCCGAGGCCGAAGACGGCGATGCAACAGGCCAGGACGAAGGCGAGGGTCACGGTGACGTGGACGACCTTCTTGGCCTTGGCCACACGGCGTCTGCAGGCATGCGAACATTTGGACTTTCGGCTGTCGGCGGTGACGGTGGTCGTCGTCGTCTCGGCGGCGTGGGCAAGCAGACGCTTCTCGTCCTCTGCTGTGGGATAGGAAGCCATTGTGGATGTGGTGATGTCGAAGTAGTGTGGTGAGGTGAATGAAAAAAGAGTTGAAAAAAGGAAGAACGGAAGAGAAAATACAACAGTATAGAATATGTGGTCGAGAGCCCAGGGAAATGGGAGTCAGCCTCGTTTTGTTGACCTAAAAAAAGCAGGCAACACAGATGTGTGTGTGGGGGTCGTTGACACACGGAGTACAAGTTCCAGAGGCACCAAGTACGGAGCCACTACAACGCAGTGTCACTGTCGTCGGGACAAAGAGTAGTTGCTGTCTCGATTCTCCGACTTGTGTACGGATGGAAAAGCAAGTGGCTGGCACAACGAATTTCTCGTATTTGGCTCTGAGGCAGACAAGGAGCGTCGGGAAGGGGCGTATGCCAGGTAACAAAGAAGAAACGAAGGATGCCAGGGGTCTAACGTAAACAGTGAAAGAATTCGACAGAAAAAAGGAAGCCAACGCGAGAGGATTGAGAAGAATCGAGGCAAAAATAGAAGCAAGACAAAAGAACGCAGAAGAGAACCAGAACGAGGTTTTTGCTGGGATCGCGGAATATGGCATACGAAGGGGAGATTGGGAAGGAGGTCGGGACATGAGTACGGTGGCCTTGCCGTTTTGGCCGGGCCAGCCGAAAAGGGAGAGAGCGATTGGCGAGGGAGCTGCCAAAAGGTACAAGTCAGGGGCAGGCCCAATGCCAGCCAAATGGAGACACCCACGCGAAAAAAACACAAACTGAAGAGGGAAGGCGCCACCGAAACAAAAGTCGGCCATTTTTTTTTTTTGGAAAAGGCCAGACGGCGAACCAAAGAGCACTCTCCACTTAGCGCCGTGGCAGTCTTCAACCAACACTTTCTCAGCTCTCCTTGCAAGTCTTGACTGGTGGTCATCCTGGACGTGGCCCAGGCGCTGCCTAGGGGCGATAGTCTCGATCCTTCTTCCCTGGGTCGCGGCTTCCCAACGCGAACGGTAGGGCCAAACGAACAAGGCAGGAGGGTACAGGGCGTGTCTGTCCCTGTTCTACGAAGTACGTTGGGCGGTGCTTTTTTGCTAGCGACGCATGCTAGCGGGAAGCTGCAACCAGGAGGGAAGGCAAAGCTAGGGAAGGAGCCTCGTAAGATAGTGCAAGAAACGACGCTTCACACGACTTCGACGTATGACCTCGTGGAGTATTTCGTACTATGTAAGATATCGTCTTACCGCACATAAAGTGTGGTTGTTTGTGACAATAAGGAGGTTGAAACACATAGGATACCTTGGCAGGATACGAGCTGTCCGAATACGGCGACAACTTACGAAGTACGACACAGTGAGGACAAGAATGCGTGGCAGGAGCATGGGCGACGGGTTGGTTGCATGTTTTGCGAGTGCTCTTCGTTCTCCCGCCTGCTTCCTCTCGTGTTGGTGGCCTCGTATCGGACGAGGCAAACCAGGACGAAAGGCAGGTTTTCGTGCCTTTGGGGCCTTTTTCGGCAGCAACGCCAAGGCCAATGTGGCCGGGCTGCGTCAGCCGTTCGGTGTTGGAACCCAGCCAGCCAGCCAAGCCAGGCGGACCCAGAAGACAGGCCCAGAACGGGGCATGCAGGACCCCCACCGCATATGCAGGTAAGTCGACGCCCGGGCATTTCTTGACAAAAGGACCTCTCAAGGTTGATGACGTGTTTGGCTTTGTGAGCTTCGTTGACATGTCAAAACAAAAGAGCGAGTTGACCGCCTCTTTTCGCTCTTCACGCGATACCATCCAGGACAGCTGCTGTCTATGCGTTTTGCTCTCTGCATTTCTGTTTTGGTACCTCGTCCCCCCTTACTTTTTGATGTATGCGGCCTGGCTCACGATGTGCGGACAAACGGAGAGGCGTCATGACATTTGCCATTGCCGGATTTGCAGTTAGCCCCAGCTGGAGGACGAACGCAATGGTCTGTCGAAAGATGCAAAAGCCTGCTTTTCCCATAACCTAGGCTTACCAGACCACAACCGCTGCTGAAACGAGCAGCGTGTTTTGCTGGCCGACGTTTGTCGGCATTCCGTCCTGAACCAACGGCAGTCGAAATCTGTGGAAATGGTGGTGAATATTGATACTGTTTGGTGACGGGACACGATGCAGCGTCCATACCGCTCTGTACATTTGAGCATTGGAGATGGTGAGATGCGGATCTGGGAAGTTTGTTCGGCTCCTGGCTGTGCAGGGCGAGTTAAGTGCAGCGTAAGTGCGAAAGTTCCATTGCAAGGGGTGTTTATTTTTGGAATACCGGGCTAAGTGCTATGGTGTAAATCGTACAGAATAGATCGCCGAGATCGCCGCTTTTCAATGGAGCATGAACCGAGATACGTTGTCAATAACACATTTATCTGTTTTTTTATGTTCGGCAACTTTGCTTTATGAAAAAAAAGAAAGAAAGAAAAGAAAAGAAATATGCAAAGAAAAAATGATTTGATTTGATTTCTTTTTTTCTTTTTTCTTCCTTTTTCTCATCCTTTTTTCTTTTTCAATTTTCTTTTTGTGCGTTTTTCTTTGAAAAAAAAAGTAAAATAAAATAAAAAATAAAAATAAAAAATAGAAGAGACGAGTAATCTCTTTTATTATTATTATTATTATTCGCCTTTCTCAGCCAATCCTGGCTATTGGCGTCTAGCTAGGCAGAACCCTCATGGGGAAAAAACTACCACAGTACTACGTGTGAACACTTTCCGTGTGTCGGGTGTGTGCAGCGGCCCTCTATAGGTGCCGTTATATGGTAGCATAATTAAACAAAATAAACAATTCAAGAGAAAGAGAGAGAGAGGAGGGAGAGGGAGGGAGGTGGGGTGGTTAGTCCGGTGCCGATGTTTACTCAAGCTCCCGGGCTAGCCGGTACTCCGGTAGTCTGTCGCTCCGGATAAGCCACCGGAGGAGGGGTCTAGCCATTAGTCCGGAGTGTAGCCGCCGGTGTAGCTCGTCGGTGGTGCGAGGCCAATCGGGTGGCCGGGGCGGGGTGTCGGTGCAGTCTAAGAGGACGTGGGTCGCGGTCTCTTCTCCGGCACCGCATTGGCACTCCGGTGTATCCACCGCCTTCCTCTTAAAGAGGTAGGCCCGAAGGCCGATGTGGCCGGAGCGAATTTGTGTTAGTAGGCTACTTTCAGCTTTAGTGAGGCCGTGGTGCCGGCGCCGGATGGCTGAGGCTGTCCAACACGGCGTTTGATTAGCGGCGGTGCGGGTGTGGCCCGAGTTGTAGCTCGTTGCCACCGGTCCTTCCACCGGCGGCGCACGGTGGCCCACTCCACCTCCTCCGGAGTAATCTCTTTTACACCATAGAACAATGGTTAAAACGAGTGTACATATAGATTTGTCTGACCATGTTCATCCATCTGCTGCAGACTAAAAGATATCAACTTCTTCCAATAATACTTTGTGTCATCAACCCAATAAAGCCGCAGGACAACTGCTTCACCAGCCACAACTTGGCTACCTATCAACGGCTCTTCGGCAAGGATTTACTTTCCTATCGGATATTTAATGCTTCATTCGACGTATATTGTCGTCTAGTCCAGATACATGTGCCAAGCCACAACGGCGTTAGAGACGAGTCTGTGTTGAGCAACAAGTAAGCTTTGAGATTCACAGAGGTGAGATGCATCACCTGATATTATCGGCGTGCAATCTTGAAAGTCGGCCGCTCTTTATATCCCTTGACAGGGAGAGCATCAAACAACACCGTGTCGTCAAAATGAGGAAATCGTATTATTAGGTGTCAGATGCACACCAATAGCGCTGTTAACCGCGCTAAAGTCGCGGAGCTCCCATTCTAGCCGCGTCGCTAGCCAAGCCCAATAATGTCGATAAATGTGGCCAAATCACAAGCCAAGCGCACTTTCCCTACAGTGCGACCATTCTTCCGCGCCTGCCATTGTGGGCCACCAACAACTTACGACGAAAGACACAATTGTGGACATCACCAGCTTCGAGCCTCTCTTTCATGTGATTTGTCCTCCACCAAGCCGCATCGCACGATATCAATGACGGGCCGACTAGCTCACCTGTGCCACCTCTGTCACATTTAGCATCTCACCCTCTTGGTGCGTATCCGATCTTTTCGACAGCCTGACCTCGAGCCATGTAACTGCGCACGACCTCTCGTCATCTGGATTTTGCCGTCCCAACGGCCCGACCGTCTTCGGCCTCCTTCGGCTCGAAAACATCGACACATCGATCAACACACCGCAGCTGTCCCTGGAAGACGCCGCGACTGCGACAAAAGACATCATGACGGCCACCGACGGCAGCGACGATGCGTCGGACAGCTCCGTATCGAACGGGTTCGGCGGCATGGGCGGCGATGGCGGCGGAAACGAGACGATGGAAATCACAGCCTCGATGGCATCAACAATGTCGAAAGCACCGACGGGCGAGCCACCAATACGAGATCCAGACGATGACGACGGCCCCCCAATACCACATGATGTGAGCGGACTGCGGCTGCTGTCCCGCTCGCCGCACCCCTACCACCACCGCAACAGCGACCTCCTCCACCCAGCCGACCGCATCGAAGCGCATGCGCACGCAACTGAAATAAACAACACACACGACACGCCCGACACACTTCACACAGCTGGTGCAGCTGACACATCGCACCCGGCCCATGCTGCTGGGTTCCAGGCCGTGGTTGGGGCCATCCCGTCCCCTTCATCCGCACTGTCGCTGGCGTCGTTTGCGTCCGGGTTTGGCTTCTTCAAAGACTCGTCGCCCGCTAGCGACAGCGGCACCGAGGCCGACGACGAGCACTTTCTCAAAGGCCTGCCCGCGCCGCGATCGAAGCCACACAAGGGCCTGCGCGGAATGAACGAGGTGCTGTCGGGCATTTCGACGCCGCTACTGCCCGTGCCGCTACATAGTTTCGGTAGTGGTGGTGGTGGTGGTAATGTTGGCAGTGCCCACGAAAGCGAGCAGCATCGTCGTTCACGAAGTGGGAGGAAAAGGACAGGGAGGCTGGAGCAACGCGACAACGGCAGCGGCGTGGACACGGATGGCGGCGATAGTGTGGCCGGCAGCGTCTACAGCTTTGTGGGGGACGACGCGCAGGACAAACAACTTGATAGAGCTGCCACACCTGGCCGCGACGTCAACGCTCACGGCGAAGGACGGCGTCCACAGGGCCACACGCCCATATCCCCGCAAACGCTCTTCCAGAAGCTGAAGCGCGATGCCGTCGCTGCATCTGCCGCTCTCGACAGTCGCGACAAGGATCGTCGTCAGGGCAGGGGCAGCGCCGAACGCAGCCGCCGCCGCCGCGAGATCGTCCGCCGGTCCACCGAACTGCTGCTGCTCGTCTCGTTGGCCGCCCTGCTCTTCTCGAACCCGGACGTGCGTCCCTTGCTCCTGCACTGGCGCTACGAGCTGCAGGCCGTGACGGCTGTCATCGGCGGCCTGCTCTTGCTCTACCCATTGCGTCTCATCCTCTGGGTGCGCCACTACGAAACGCGTGGCAGAGGTGACAATGCCGAGGAGCAACCCCCGAGCAACCCTCTTCGCCAGCTCATCGCCATCCCGGCCTCTTTCGACCCGGCCCCTCTCTTCTACCCGCTGACCATTCCCGTTTTCGTCTCCTTTTTGCTCGCCACGCCGACTTTGCACGCGGCTCCCCTCCTCAACCTCGTCTTGAGCATCTGCACGCTGCCCAGGCCTCTACTTCCCTTCTCGCTGTCCACGGAGCTCTGCAGCCCGGTCCACTGGACCCTCTCTATCGTCCCTCTTACGGTTGCTGAGGCTCTGCCCTCGTCCTTCAAGGGACGCGGTTTGCATTCCACCATTCAAACGCCCGTCGCGCCACTCTCGCCCGACCTGGCCACCCTCATCTACCCGTTGCACCAGACCTTGTGCTGGCTGCTGCACGACTTGACGACGACCAGCCTGCTACCCGCCGAGCTACAGCTGCTGTCCGTCGCCCTCATCAACCTGCTCTTCCTGGCTACCTCGCCCCAGGCCGTCATTCTGCAGGCTCTCCTCTGGGCCGGCGGTGTTAGCATCCTCGTACTCGGCGGTGGCGTTGTCCGTCGCGGCATTCTCCTTGCCCGCATCCCTCGCTGGCGCTTTCGAAGGGACGATCCCAGCGCCCAAAAAACCGACAGCCTTTGGTGGCTGCTGTCGCCTGCCGCTGTCGTGAGCCGTGTCTGGGCCGAGCTCAAGTCGCTGCGGCGCGCGCGACTCGAGTTGATGTATGGTCCAGGCCCGGGCGGCTCGGACTTCCGAGGCAACAGCTTCGGCGACTCGGACGACTCAACCGACAATGGCAACCACTCGCCGCCGCGGGATGGCGGTGTCGTGGACGGAGCCGCATGGAAGACTATGCCGCACAAGATGCCCAAGATGCCCAAGATGCACAACGCGCCAAAGACTGTGAAGCGTTCTGCGACCGTGGTGGCTGCCAGATCGACCACCGCTCCTCTCGATGCGACCGCCGAAGGTGCCAACGCTGGCGGAAGACCCCGCCGACACTCCACTACGCAAACCGTCACACATACTCCCTCTGGCCGCCGCAAGCGCGCCACCTCGCCCACCATCCGTGCCTTCTTCTCCCTCACGCACGAACAGGCCGTCCGTCGCAAGTGGCTCTATGCCGCCTTCCTCTACGCCTGCATCGCCTTTGTCATCCTGGCCGGCATCCGTCCCTATGTCGCGGCATTTGCGCTGCACGGCCGCGACCCCTTTGGCTGGGCGCTGGGCTACCTGTTTGGCGACATCGACTGGTTCCGTCTCGAAGTCGTCAAGACCAACCTAGAGGGCTGGGTGTGTTTGCCGCCGCGCACGGTGTCGTCCATGTCCTCGGCCCCCTGTCCCTCGTGTGCCGCCGGCTGGGTCGAGCACATCCGCCAGGCCTGGCTCGGCGCCGCCACCACCCGTCTTCTGCTCGCGGCCTACTGGTGCATCGTCATCGTCTTTGGCCTTGCCGTTGTCTTCACCTTGTCGCCCGTCTACGAGGTCGACACCCGCCGCAAGGTTTTTCACTTTATGATGGTCGCCATGCTCTTACCCGCCACCTTTGTCGACCCGGCCTACGCCGCCCTCGCCCTCTCTCTCGTCCTGGCTGTGTTTTTGCTGCTCGACCTCGTGCGCGCCAGCCAACTGCCGCCCCTGTCGCGGCCCATTGCGACCTTCTTGACGCCCTACGTCGACGGCCGCGACCTGCGCGGCCCAGTCGTCATTTCCCACATCTTTCTACTCATTGGCTGTGCCATCCCGCTGTGGCTGTCCATGGCTTCGTTGCCGCGGATGCCGACGACTCCAGACACGCCCGGACCATCGGAAACATTTGGCATACCCAGCGACGGCTGGAACGTCCCCACGCGTGATGTCAGCATGGTTTCCGGCATCATCTGTGTCGGTCTGGGCGACGCCGCCGCGTCCCTGATTGGCCGTCGCTGGGGCCGCCGCAAGTGGCTCTGGGGCGGCGGCAAGAGTCTCGAGGGCAGCGCCGCGTTTGCCCTGGCGGTCTTTGCGGGCCTGATGCTGGCGAGTTTGTGGCTGCGCGTGGGCGGATGGGCAGCAACGGGGGAGGCCCTTGCGCCTGTGAGCGTGAGTGCAGCAAGCGTGGGAACGGAGGCGACAGGTGCAAGTGCAGCGAGCACAAAAAGCCTCGTCCACACTCTCAGGGCCGCGCTCCCTCCCTCCCTCCAGCGCGTCGTGTCGTGGATCGGGTGCAAGGCTGCACAGTCGGTCGCGCCCCGCGCCGCCGTGTGTGCCTCCGTGGCCAGCTTGACCGAGGCCGTGCTGACGGGTGGCAACGACAATGTTGTCGTGCCCGTCATCTTATGGACATGTGTCAAGAGTTTTGGCTTATAATGTGGTGTACGCAAGCCCTTTCTATACGCGTCTATGTGCAACGATACCCTTTCAGCATGTTTTTAAAAGTAAACAGATATACAATATCCATAGATATGTAGTAATTTGCAACAGTAATGTCCTGCGTCTTTTCACTCATTTGTTATGCTCTATTCTATGGCGACTGATATGAGAGTAAATTGAAACCGCATTGATGAACGCCGATGTTTGCTATGAACTCCAGTATCATGAATGTTGTCCCCGGTGAAACAAGTCGGCAGGTATGCCCTTGCCCCGTCTCACGAGGCAAGGTCTTCCAAAAGCGCCTCTAGCTCGTCGCGCCGGAATGGTAGGCTTAGCATTTCTGTACCAAATGCATCTTTTCGGCTCAACACCATTTGATGGTCGTGGAATCTAACGAGGAGAGAGTTAGTACAACCGAAAAAAAATAAAAGAGTGCAAAAATGGCAGAAAACGTACTCCTTCAGCAGCGTCCGGAAGGCCATCTCGGAACTACAGATGAATTCTTCGACCGCCTTGTTGTACAGCATGCGGTACTCAAGCGCTACCGACTCGCCGGCTCCGTCGTCGTGGTCACCTCCGTCGTTGTCACCGTATTCGTCGTCCTCGTCGTCATAGCCGAAGCCGCCGGCGCCACCACCACCGCCCCTTTGCCCCTCGTCGGCCGCCAGCACCTCGCCCACCAGCAGCTGGAACAGCGTCCGCGCATTCTCCGGTAGACTCCGTAACACAAACGCTGCGCCGTCCTTGCCGCCCACGCGCCGCACGCGCCGCCCTAGCAACGCGTGCACCTCGTCCACCGTGTCGAGCCCTGCCAGCGGCCGGAACGTCGTCGCGTCGTGGAACACAAAGTTCTGCTGGCTGCGCGCGGCGCCGTCCCACAGCAGCGGGAACCCGGGCGTGTCGGCTGCGCATAGCAGGCTGATGCTGCGGTGGGCGGCCAGCCGCGCGAGCGTTGCCTGGGCAGCCGGGCGGCGGAGGCTGGGGCTGTCGATGCCGCTGATGATGAGGGTGGCCCGGAAGGCGCTCTCGGCCTTGCCAGCCTTATCCAGGAGAGACATTACAATGCGCTCCGCGGCAGCGAGCCCGGAGGGCAACTTTGGTGCTGCTGTATGTGCGGCGTCTTTCCCATTTGTGGACGCCACGCCGGCGGCGGCCGCGGCCACGACAAGCATAATGTCCCGCAGCGTGGAGGCGGCGGCGGACGCGGTCATACCCATGCTACCTCCTGTGGTCGAGGGCGCAGCGGCCGCCGCCCCGGCTGTGCTTGTGTTCACCATGACAATCTTGTGGGCGTCGTGGTCGCGGATGCCCTTGTGCAGCGCTGTCGCAAATGCGCGCAGTACGCGCTGCTTCGAGCCGTACCCGTACAAACACACACTAAACCCTTGCGAGAGCTCAAACGCCCACTGTGCAAACGACTGCGAATGCAGCTCTTCGAGGTAGCCGATTTGCTTTTCGTGGCGGTTGACAATGTTGTCCGCGCCGCCGTCGCGCAGCCGAAAATACTCGTCGTATGTCAGAAGACGCAGCGCAGCCAGTGTGTTGTTGGACGTCTTGATGCCGGCACCGGCGCGGTTCTGGAAGAAGTAGTGCTCGTGGGCCGGCAGGTCGCGCGGTGGCGTGGTGTCTCGTGCTGCAGCCGTAGAGGTGGACGGACCGGTATCCGTTTTGCGCGGCCGTCCACGACCCCGCTTGGCAGGTTGTCCATTAGCACCTGGAACAGCAGGAGCCGCCTTTGCGGGGGTTGCAGCGCCTTTGGCCTTTGGTGGTCTGCCGCGTTTTCTCGGTGTTGGGGCGTCAAGGGCTGCCTCGTGGGCTTCGAGAACGGCAGGGGGGTCCTGTCCTAGCTCGAAAGCAGCCGGTTCTGCGGCAGCCTCTGGATCCTCGTCGTCTTCACCGTCTTCGTCGTCTGCATCAAGGATGGCGTCGTTTAGAGCTGCTTCGTCCTCGTCATCGTCGTCAGCTCCAGCCACCATGCGGTCAATAAGCGCACGTGTGCTCTTCTTTCGTGCCGACCGGTCTGCCAGTGTTCGCCGCGTGTTTGGAGTCTGGGCAACACTGCCACGAGCCGCCTTGGTTGGCGTCGATTTGGTGGGCGTCGCAAATGCATCGCCTGTACGGCGCCGTTTGCTCGTGGGAGTTTGCTCGACAGAGCGGCCGGGCGAATCGAATCGGTCGGCAAAGCGGGCCTTGGGTGGCCGTCCACGCTTCCTTGGCGTCTCGACGGGTCCTGCCACGCGCGGCTCATCGTCTATGGCAGAGTCTAATGCTGTCTCTGCAGCCACAGACAGAGAATGCGCGGGGCCATCGTCCGAGTCCTTCTCTTCGCCGTCATCTCCGTGGCCATTCGCGTGCATGCCGTCTTCCCCTCGGTCGTCGATTTCTTCGTCCAAGTTTGTTGTGACGGGAGGCTCGGCCGATGTGGCTTTCCGCTTCCGACTCGATCGACTGCCATTGGGCTTGTGGGCAGTTGCCACGGATAGGTAACGTTCGTCGGTCTTGCGCGAGTTTTCAAAGACGTCGCGTCCATCATCGCCCGGCGCATCGTATACGCCGACACTGGCGGTGCCGTTCGTTCTCCGAGCTGCAGGCGTAGATCGTTTCCTCGTCGGCGTGGTCAGCTGCTCGGCGATGCTGTTGTCGCTGGGCGGCGACACCTGTCGTCGATCGAGACGAGTGGCCGATGGGGGGGAGGTCTGCACAGTGGTTGCCTCAGCCACGCCGCCGCGGTTACTATTCCGTGGTGTGGTCGTGCGCGCCATTGGTGCGGATGAATGACGACAGCCTGCGTAGAAAGAGGCGTTTATTGCATGCTGTGCTGTGTTATGAGAAGAAAGAAGTTTGAGAAGAAAGGTCGAACGCAAAAGAGCACGGAGTAAACCAATGCGATAATGCCAGTCGCAACTTCCACAAAGCGCGTCCGAGTCGCGATTCGTTGGCTCTCTTGCCCCTTCCCATTAAAATGGTTACTGGACCCACTTTACCTGACGCTCCGCTCCTTCCAACCAAATGTCAATGCGCCAACAGCTCTTTCCAGCTTCAGCGCACTAAGAGCTCTTAGAACGGCAGGTGCAAAAGAACAACGCAGATTCGAGCCACCTCGGTTAATGTTGAAGTTGTTGATATCGACTCTGTAGAGCTTTCCAGACATACGCCGTACGCCTGGATAAAAGCAGAAGATAACTACCGACGCTCCTCAAAATGAATCTCAACTTGTCGGCCTCCGTCAACGTCTTCCGTCTGCTGGCGAGGCCGGCGCTGTGCTTGCCTCATGGCGTTGTGGCGACATTCAACGACATTCCCATTCCGCTCGACAGTGCGTTTGTAGCTCGGACGGGCGGCCGCAAACCCGAGATCAAGGCCGTCGTGCTCGACAAGGACGACTGCTTTGCCTTTCCCGAGAGCAGCGAGGTGTATCCGGCATATGAGGTGAGGCTGGGCGGGGTATATCGGGAGAACAAAAGCGAAGAGAGGACAACGTCATAACTGACTCATGGCTCGGGCCTTTCTGCCAGCAACACTTTAAGAAACTGCGCGAGGCGTACCCCGGCCGGAAGCTTCTCATCGTGTCTAACACGGCGGGCGCACTGAGCCACGACAAGGACCGCAGTCTGCTGGCGACCGTTGAGGCGAGCACAGGCGTCGCGGTGCTGCCCCATGCGACCAAGAAGCCCGGCTGTGGCGACGAGATCATGGCCTACTTTCGTGCGCACCCAGAAACAGGCGTGACAGCACCCAACCAGATTGCCGTCGTCGGCGACCGGCTGACAACGGATATGATGCTGGCCAACACAATGGGCGGCTGGGGGTTGTGGGTGCGTGAGGGTGTCGTGGCGCCTGGGAAGAAGAGCGTGGTAAGTAAAAACCAAGGTGGGATGAAATGTAAAGACGTAAGAGGGGCAGGAGGGTATGCTTTGGTGTTGTCGTTGTCTTGTCATTGTGTTGTCACTAACAACGTAGTTTGCTCGCTTGGAACGACGACTCGCCAACTCACTGACAGCACGCGGCTACGAAGCACCACTGCCATCAAGTCCGTTTGAATAATGCTGACTATGTGGCTGCTGCACATTGAGCTTTCCACTATTGAAAAATCATGGACGAAAGTCGATTGAAGAGGCTCTCCGAAGATGCTCTCGTCTTGGCTGATTTCAACGCCACTTGCTCTCACTTTGCTCTCACTTTCACGTCAAGAAGCTAGACAGCCCACATAGTCGGGGCATCGACTTGGCTTCGGACGGAAGAATATGTGGTCATGAGGACGTGGCAGGATGATAAAGTTGGCCAAGAATCGTCCTTTTGCGAGAATATGCAACCAAATTTCCTCGCTCTTGGTCGTTCCCTCCGTTTTGAAGCTCACTTTGCTGCTTCCTAGATTGCCATAAATATCCTCTCAAATATCGTGACAGCTCCTTTTCTCAACATCATCTTCGCCGGCCTTTGTCCTCTCCACGTCTTTCGTCGCTTTCTTTTCATTATCACAACGCCACGTTTCAACATACTTAACAATCGTCCAACAGCTCACGACTCGAAGCTTGTCATACCTCGATCACCGACCGCCCTTCGTCATCCAGGCGTCTTGGTGCGCGATGTTGAGTACTTTCTTTTGACCTTCTTCTTTTCTCTTTCGCCATCTATGTACTCTCCTTTTTTGGTAAACTGGTGTATTTATTATTGTACCATCCTCGCTTCTCTTCCGCCCTCATTCTTTGTGCCTTTGTCTGCATACCTGTCTCTCCACTTCCTTCTGTCTGTGCATTTGACTGGCACTTCTGTTCTAAATTTGTCAAGCATTTTTACACGCACTCCTGCGGGTTTGCCAACGTACTTCCTGGGCACTTCTTAGCTTTCTTTTCTTTTCCACTTCACAGTTACGACAACACGACACTCATCCGCCGCCATGGGAGGTAAGGTCTGGTCTGAGGAGGAAGAACGAGTGTTCTGGACCGAGATCATTCCATCCTCTAAGAAGCGGCAGCTCTATTCTCGCCCCAGTCGCGAGCCTCACGGCTGGGAGTCTCTTCGGAAGGTGATGCAGGACAGAATGGGGAGCCTGGCGCGGCGCACCTATACGGCCCTCATGCTGTGTAAGATGTCCTCTTTCTCCATCGCTCACGACATTTCTTTTTGCTTTTCAGGCTTACTAACGATTCTTAAGACGAGCATTTCTTCCAAAACTGTGTTCTCGAGCGGTTCTCGCCCAATGCTGCTCGCTTTGTGCGGTCCTACATTGCAGACGAACGTATGCGTCTTCCATCTGCCGCCTTCTATATAACCCTGCTATCCTTCTTCTTTTGCCTCATTATCGAAGACAGCTTCGATTTGCCTCTCAATCTGATCTCAATCTGGCGGAGGCCCATGACTAATCGTTTCCTCTAGGCCTCACCACTGGTCACGCGCCGATTCAACGCAGCCGAACTGCCCAAAACTCTGTGCGGAGTGGTAGTCTGGTCGGCGACTCAGTTCTTCTTCCGTCGAACCGCGCGCGTTTTGCTGAGCTCCGCCTTGCAGGCAGTGCTGACACAGCAACGCAACCATTCAGACAGCACCGCAGCGCATACTACGATACGGGCTCGACTCACCAGAGGACGGCCCTGTCTGGGCTGGGCGACACGGCAACGAAGACTGCCAATGCCGGTACCAATGACGGAGCAGACGCGGCAGGTGCTGCAGGCATCGGTGGATTTGGCATCGGCTTGGCTGCTGCGCCGAGTGATACTTCCGCCGCACTGACGCTCCCCGCGCTCGCTTCACTCAGACTCCCCAGCCACTTCGCGCAAGATCCAGTCGTATTTTCGATGCCGCCCTTGTCGGCGATCATGTCTCTTCCGCTCCTTCAGCCGCCAGCTTTCTCTAACATGCCGCCTCCGATTCATTCAACGGAGCCTCTTCGGCTGACTCGTGTGCCTCTCCCCGACAACATCCAGGAGATGCAACGGCAAGTTGGCCCGAAGCCTTTGGCGGCTCAGAGCTACGTTGACGATTTGTTATTTGCTCAGCAGCTGAAAGACCAGCGCCAAGACCGACAGCTGGACCAGGGCCGGCAAGAGTTGAGTCTCGAGCCAAGTGTGACACGATCCGCGACGGCGGACGTTGGTACGGTGGGTGGCGGTTTGTCGTCGGTCCGTGACCTGCTGCTGCCCGCGTCGGCGCCGATGCAGGTGGCAACGTCTTCAGAACCAAGGTCCACTTCCCCCACGGTCACCCCATCCGCCACGGATGAACAGCTGCCCGCTGCAAAAGACTGGCAGTCTGCCATCGACGAAATTAAGGAAGACGAAGAGGCAGACAGCATGTTTGTCAGCCAATGGCCCCAAGAGTAGGACATGGAAACCCCCCCACAAATTTTTTTCTACGGCTGTCCCCGATCTCTTTGCACACTTATTGTTTTGTCCTTTCGTTATTATTTTTAATGGTGAGGTTTCTACCTTTTTGCAAACACCTCGGCAGTGAATCATGGCCGGCGTCTTTGAGAAGCATGGAGTTCTGATACTGCGTTTCACTTTTGGGATAATTGTTTTGAGCATTGGTGTACGGTGATTTGGCTTGGGAGCAGTGATAGGATGCATTGGCAAGGAAAGAACTCTAACTTCACGGCGCCTTGAAGGATTGAACGATTTCGAGATCTGTTTGGTTTTTGGTCTTGTGTTGCGTTGACTTAAGTCCTTTTGTCGACCATCTCCCTAACTCCTTGTCTTTTGCGATGCCTTGCCAAATGAAATTATTTCTTATCTTTCTTGTGCTTGCAGTGTTGAGTGTCAGTGTTGATGGACTACCGTTATGCTACCAAGTGTCGTTGAGCAAACTGGAGCAAGAGGTTCTGGGAGTGGCCCTGATGTCATACATAAATTGGACACGAGAATCATTGCACTTTTATATTAGTCGCGGTTGCAGGCCCCACATTTTACATCACATTGAACGACATTGACTACTGCACAACTCACTCATCAACCGTCAATCTTCAACTCACTTTTCAGTTTTCGACCTTGCTACAGAACAAAACAAATCGCAAGCCAGGACATGCCCGCCGTATTTGAGATCCCCGTCTTCTCGGCGGCAGCGGCCAAAGTCGCCGTCGACCACGGCGCCACGCGCCTCGAAGTCAACCGCACAGGCTCCTATGCTGCTGGCGGACTCACACCGACACGTGCTGAAGTTGAGGTCGTGTCGTCGGCTCTTGGCCCCACGTCAACCGTCCCGTTGCGCATCATGATCCGGCCGCGGGGACCGCCATCGTCGGATTTGGGCGAGCCCGACTTCTTGTATACCGACGACGAGTTTCGCGAGATGCGCAGCGACCTCGAAGCCTTTATAGCTAGTGGTTTGCTACGAGCAACGCGCGGCGACGGCTTTGTCTTTGGCATTCTTGCGAGAGACGAGGGCAACGAGAGCCATGTCCGCATTGACGCCGACCGCAATCGCCAGCTCGTGCAGGCCGCCGAGCCGTATGCGTGCGTCTTCCATCGGGCGTTCGACCTGGTTCTGGGCAGCGATGCGACAAACCACACGGCCGAAGAAGGGTTGGCTGCCCTGCGCGACTGTGGCTTTGCGGGCGTGCTGACAGCCGGCGGGCCTGGCCGGGGCGGCGCTGTCGACCATGCAGACACATTGCAGGCACTGGTCGCTGCCGAGCGGGACGTGGCCGGCGCAGCCCAGGCGCGGCCACATGCGAGCATTGAGATTGTCGTGGGCGGTGGTGTACGCAGCCAGAATGTGAGCACGCTGGAAAAGGCCATTTTGGGTACGAAGAAGGAGGAGGGCCGCCACACCAGCGTGGTGTCGTTCCACTCGTCGTGTCTGGAAGACGCGGCAGCAGCGACGGCCAAGGGCGCCGAGGCCGAGACGGTAAGCGGCGAGGAGGTCCACCGGATACATACGGCGCTGGTATCTGTGGAGGGATTGTAGAAGTTTCATTATTGATGGGATGAATTCAATATAGACGTGTACCTAATTACATTATGGTGGTCATTCTAGGCCGTAATAGCATAAAGGGACCACTTAGCTGTGGTCACTGTATTCGTTGCCCATTATCGTTGTTCTAAAGCTATAACCGTAAAACCACGTGGGAACGCCCAAATCGCATAGCTGCGATAAACTCTAAGTCTACCGTCTCGGTCTTCCTTTTCTTCTCCTTAACGCTGAGGCTCAGGGCAAGGCCACCGGCGATTCGCGTCCTCTTCGTCTTCGTAGTCTCCCTCGGTCCCCTCGTCGTCCTGGTCTTCCTCCTTGTCGCCCTCTTTATCATTGTCTTCAACCGCACTCATGGGATTGGGATCCATAAAGTCGTGGATGTTAAAGGCGGTCGTGACTCTGCTGAGCTGACTAAAGTCATAGTCACCATAACCATAGTAGCTGAGGTCGTGTTCTGTTTGTGTCTGGTCGTCTTGCTCTGTCTCGACGTCCTTTGACGTAGCCTCTTCGGCCTGCTTTGTTAGGCTGTCGCCTGTGTCTTTTGGTAGAGAGTTGTCGGTACTTTGCCAGCTGCTAGAAGCAGCTGCAATGCTTAGAGGGAATGCATCCTCTTCGTCGCTGTCCTCCTCCTCGTCGCTGTAGTCGTAGCGGTCAAAGAAGCGTATGTCGCCGCCGTCGTACCACTCCCCCAACTCGTCGTCGAAGCGATAGTGCATGTCACTTCCCGTGTACACGCGGAGGTAAGGCTTGATGGTCATTGTAGTGGACCTTGCAGAAGTCATTGTTGAGGTCATATTCATAGGTGAGGTGCCGTTTCTCTTTTGGGAGTCCGTTTTGGGGCACATTAAATGTGTAAGTTTGAGTCGAGGTGAGTTTGCGAGTAAGTGCGATGTTTTGGTTGCCTTTATTTGTTCGTAGATAAGGAGAATATGGATGACAAAAAGGCATATGATTTAAGGTGTTTGTTAGATGATGCGGGCTGTGAGGTGATGGATCGCACGTGTCGTACAGGTGAGATTTCGTACTATCCGTGTAAGACAAGAGAGTCAACAGATTGAATTTCTTGCGTATTTACTTCCCTCGCAGGATACGAAACGGTGGACGTCAACATATATACAAAAACGAAGGTCCCAGAACCCAGCGAAGCACATGCCCGTTTAACCCTTTTTGCCGACGCAGGCAGTGACGAGGCAATTAGGACGAATGTATGGTGATGCCTACGGTCGAGGAGTCTGGAGACAGCGAAATTCAGCAGCAAACGTACAGAGTCACGGGGCCATGCCGCAGTAATCGGGCTTAGACACCTAGTCATCCAGATGGCCGGGGCGTTTGGTGGGGAGAAGCAACGTCATGGGGTCGCCGGGGGACCGAAAGAGCGCAAGGCAATGGCGAACCAAGCATTTGGGACCAAATGAGATATGCTGAAACGCTTGCCGGCAGGCGAAAACCAGATAAACGGCGAGGGCTCCCACAACGTTCACTCGCCTATTCGCTGGAATTCAAGGCACTGAGCGTTTTGGCGGGCTTTGAGCGCTGAAATGGGGGCGCTCTTTTCCTGATTCTTCATGCTGTTTGCTTGTTCAGCAGGTTCAATGTGGCTGGTCGACTGAACATTTGGGCGGGAAGTCCGACGCCGAGGTTGCTCCAAAGCTTGAAACGGACTACCCGTACGAAGGTTCTCGTAAGGGACGTGTGCCTCTGTAATCATGCAGAGAATGCCCTGGAAGGGTTTTTCGCAGGCCCTAAAAACAGGAAGAGACGGAAGGAGACGTGGGAAGCGGACGAGGATGAAGAGACAGGGGGTGCGATTGGTTGACAGATGGTGGACATGGTAGACCTTTGCCTGGGTCTGGGATTGACTAGATGAGCTAGTAAAAATAGAACATGCGTTTCTTTCGGGCGTCAAAGCCCACTGCGAAGGCAATAACGTCAACAACGACGACGACGTGCATATAGGCAACCGAATTTTCAGTGGAATGGCATTTGAGTGGCTGAACGGTCGCCACGAAAAAACAGGCAAAGACAAGAAGTGGAAAATCGCTCGAATGCGAAAATGGACAAGATTGTCAACAAAAAAGCCTGAAACGGATTGCGATGAAAGTTGAGAAATTGCTTGTCTCCTTGCGAATTGCTCGTGAAAGGTGTCTTGAACTATCGTGGCTCGTGTAGATTTCAGCCGACTTGGGCCACTTGTGGCCGCTTGCCTTCGAGGCCTCCCTCAGCCTCGTCTCCTCGTCTCGCAACTCCTGCAGCTGCCGCGCTCGGAGGTATCGGCGTTGGCAACAAAGGCCAATGTCGTGATTTCTGGCAGGGCCTATTGCAGTCGCGGCTCCGGGTTCCACCGGATTTCCTTTGATCTAGGAATATCATCCGTGGTCTGTCCTCCCGCGCTTTTCCACCAGAGAGCTGCGCGACGCTTTTCAAAGCGATCCGTACAGGCTGACGGGAAAGCGTGGATAAGCACCGCCGGGTTGCTGGGGCGGTGTCGGCTTTTCCTGCCACTGGAAACGGGGCACAGAAGGTATCTTGCACCAGGGGCGTGATACAACCGGGAATCAACGCATAGATGCATGTTGTAGCTGGTATTCATCCCCATACGCCTACCTCCTTGTTCACTGGTTCGGGCGCTTGGTTGCCTCTGGCTTGCCGCTGCCGTTGCCGGCTCTCCCAGAAAGACTTGACAAGATTGACTTGCTCGCATGCGCCCGGCGTGCTCGTCGTTCCTGAATGCGGGCAGCAGCTATCGACGACGATGGCGATGGCGACGAAGACGACGACGACGCCAACTCTGAGTCGTACCCGGCCGCCGGCTGCCGCGTCCGCCAGTCGCACAGCGCTGCGGACGACGCGCTCTCAGGTACGACGGCTCGCAGCGCATTGTACACGAACGTGTCGCGGTAGTTGTCGGTGTTGGCTGATACAATGGTCGCCATGCCTGAAGGACCCTCGTCACGGTCCCGAGGCCACGGTCCGCGGAGCGGGTTACTGCGGACGACTGTGCGGTGGTGGTAGTCGATGCTGGGGAAGACGCTGACCACGAACGAGCGCTGATGGATGGGGGAGGACGATGTCGACGAAGTCGACCAGTTTGGAGAGGACGAAGACGACGACGAGGACGACAAGGGCGGCGAGCCGGACCTGGCGGTCGCCGTCGACATGGACGTCGTCTCAATCGGCTGCACCAACTGCGCCACCCGCGGATGGCCCCACGGCTGTGCAGCCTGCAGCGTCTCGGCCAGCAGCTCGTACTGCAGCGGACTCCGCTGGATCAGCGCTGCCGCCATGGCCGTGCTCGACGCAATGCACACAAACGAGCTGTTGTCGGCCAGCTTCTTGAACAGCTCGGCCTTGCCATACCGCTCGAGCACGCCCAGCACGGACCGGCGCTCGGAAAGAGACGCGGGCGGTGGACGGACATTGATGAAAAGAGAACGCTGCGCGAGGTCCGAGGAGGACGACGATGAGCTTGAAGAGCTGGAAGAGCTAGAAGAGCGTGAATGAGTCTTGACCATGATCGGCCTACTCTTGATGCGACCGGCAAGAGCTTCCAGGCATCTGTACGGCCGCATGTTGACGATGACAATTGGTAAGGTTTTGTTGTGTTTGTTTGTTTCTCTCGTCTTGGTTGACGTGCTCGATCGTCGCTTCCTTTTCGAATCGCCACATTCACAATGCACATTTTTAAGGCACCTTCTCCAAGTCGCGCGTAGTCACGTGTGATCGACGAGCACTGTGGCACTTGCCTGATGGAACCACCATATGCACTGACACCGCACTACCATTTAGCGGGCCATCCCGTCTTTCATCCCATTTGCCTCCGGGTTTTATGACGACTTATCGACGGGAGCACTCTCACATCGACAGTCGTGCTTTTCGGGATCTCATACAGACGCGGGGGGCATCATCAAGTTAGTTCTGATGACGAAATAAAAGGAGAATGAAAGGCATAGAAGGCACGGGGATCTGTTTCATCACAGCCTCAGCAGCGCCGGGTCCGGAAACTTTCAGTTGCCTGCGGTCCATTGCCCGACCATGAAATACGATGGCTGGCTTAGTATTACGCAACAAAACAGTGTAACTCAGGAGAGGCTTGCAGCAGACGACAACAAGCGGTATCAAGCAGCAACAACCTTGGCATATATTAAATTACCCAGCCTTTGAAACAGCCGCTCTGGCTTTTCCCTTGTGCTTTTCATCTCTTCCGCGACTTGCCTGTCTGTGTCTCTGCTTTGTCTGTATTTCGGCCCCTTTTCGAGCATGGTTCATCCCGGCTTGTAGCCGAAACAGCTTAATGGCTCTGGTGTTGGGTCTTATGATGGTTGTGATATACACGGGGAAGTATACAGACATATATTGGTTTTCTGAAGCGTTCTGCTGTCCAACACGTACTCAACTTCGAAAGGTAAAAGGGACGGGCATGCTATCCCTTGCGGATACGGCCGCAACGGTCAAAACCAATGGACAGAGCCAACTTTGACTGCATTCTTCCCCTGGAGAAAGAGTGAGAGTATCTTTGGGCGAAGTATTGGAAATATTGTGATCTATCACATTTTGCCACTTTTCGCACTAACAAAAAAACCGTTGAGGCTTTGCCGGCGCCATTGCAGTACTGAGACACTTTAATACCTGTGTTGCTCCAAAGGGAAACAGCGTACGAGATGAACACTGACAACAAGGCAATGCCGTCCATCGGCAAGACCTAGAAGGTCTCAAACCAATCGTTCGAGCAAAGTAGACAAACACAAGGATGGCTACTTGGCAGTAGTTACTGACAAACTGACAAACTAGCAGGGCAGCAAGTGCCAAAGGACGTGCCAACATCAATGGCCGGACAATCAACATGAAAGTGAACAAAGAAATAATCAAAATGAAATGCTACAATTCATGGGTCGCCTGAATGTTGCATGATGACAATGCGCGTATCCAGGTGGTGATGACGTTGAGATCGATCATGGATGTCTTTTGTAAAATGTGATCAACAGAAAGGAGGGAGGAGACACGGCAACAAGGAAAACTGAAAGGGCAATTGTGTGTGAGAAGACGTGAAGTGTGCATGAGAGAAATGATCTGTCTGACATCTGGTCTGTTTGCTTTTTCCATCTTCATTTTGCCAAGGTAAATTTTCCGCTCTTGCCAACCGAAACCTTTTCTTTTTTCCAGCGCATTCCCTTGCAGAAGTCCTTAGACATGGTGCTAAGCGAACCTGCAATGTTCCCGTCGATCACTGGTATTTACTACAGAGAAGAGTGGCAGTACCGACTGACGATCAGCGGAGATTCCTTTTCTTTTCTCCTTTTGTCTCTCCTGCTCAGCTTTGTTTCTGCATTTACTTCAATTCCAGTCACAAGTCGTCCTCGACCATTGCCGTGGTAATGATCTCAAGACAAATGCAAAAAAAGGGCGCATGGAACAACGCCCACCGCTATTTAGTTGTGAACCGTAGTGTTATGTCCCAGTCGTTGGAAACTGTAGACCATGAGCACAGTTCTATTGTCCAATCCCGAGCTCTGGCTATGACATAGAAATTGGAGAAATAGTGACAGTAAAGGAGTGCGGCGTCAAGGGAGATATATCCCATAACGCCATAATGGACATGAGGTCCATTGCGGAAGTCAAAGGGCCAGCAAAGCACATCGTACGGTATGACCATACATGGCCACCGCGGGACATTGTTCGGTAGAGACAGGTTGTGCAGAACAGCGGCGAATTTGTTTTAGGGTTTATTTTTGTGCAACAAATGGCGCTTCTACCTCAAAAATAGACTGACCGTCTACAATGATCATGAGATCTAGTGTGGCGTGCATGTCTAAACTCAGGCCTTGTGATTTGTTCCATTTTCTTGTCGACAGGGGAGTCGCCGTCCTCGGAGCTAAGTCCGTGTCAGTTGGTTCTCGGGGTCCATCCTCGCTGCTCATTGTTTTGTTGTGCATAAGTACAAACGGATACGGGGAAAGGCGGAATGGGGAGAAGGGAAAGCGGCCATTCGCCGGGCCCAGAAACGAAACAACCCCGTGACATGGTATGAAAAAAGAGAAAATGATAACAAAATGTGGATTGTTGCTGTCAGTAAAGGAGCCACAAAGTAGGAATCGTACAAGGAGCCCTCTGGAAAAGTAAACATGATGGAATGGACCGGACAGGTGATGTAGAATCTATTCCAGTTGCGCTGTTCTCCGGCAGGGTGCATCAAAACACCACAGCCTCCATCGTTGGTCGGTCCCGAGATTTGTTGATCTCAATTGGAGTACCCAGTAAGTTAAAGCCCACTCTCAAACCTTCACCGGGGTATGGGCTCTGTGGTCCCTGCCCAGCGGCTGCTGCCCCGAACCAGACATTCTATGCTGCCATACTACATCGTCGTAATATGTCGCACATGTTTCGGTCGTCACTCAGGTTACTTTCGCCGCCTCATGTTTGCTTCCATTCTTTTCTTTTTTTTCCTCGCTTACATCTTTCTTACCACGGCGACCACTCAAGTCACTCCTCTGCACCGCACCAATATGTCTTTGAACAGACACAAGAGTCGGCCAGAGATTGGGCTTGCCACCCATACCCCACGCCTTGGCTTCCATGTTATCATCCCCATTGGTCGCACCAGCTGTAACCGAACCAAGCCCACCAGAAATAAGGACTTTTGTCGACCAGGGTGGTCTGTCACCTCGCCGATGGTTGTGTTGGAATGCCCGCAGGGCTTGACCTGGTCCCAAAAGCGTGGTTCTCCCGGGGAACTGCCTCTGATCCCCTTTCCCGTCCCCTGCAATCCCGTCGACTCTATTCTGTATTTGTCTGATTTATGGGTTGTTACGAGCATCCCATACGGTCGTAGTCTGTTCTGCTTGCTTCATTCGTAGGGGAGTGTCCGGTAACACGACAGACATTCTTCTCGCCCATCCACGATTATTGACCGCCACATGTCTGGAGAGGCACTTATCTGTACACCACTCCCTCGCATTTGCTTTATTCTTTTATATTTTCGTTGCTCATCTCTTTTCTTTTCGTATATTGTCTCAAGACGTCGGCTATGACGATCGCTGCACGCACATAAACCCGTCCAATGAGCAGCTGCGTCCGACCCGCGCTATAGCCACTGTTTGCCTAGAGAATCTCACTATCAATCCTCCCATCTCGTCGTCCTACAATCGTGCCTACCTGTCAGCCACCTTGTACCCCTCACGATTGGCTAAATAGTAAGATACAGAGTAGCGGCGGGTTTCCTTGATTGGAAGCCACCCGGCCGCCCCTTCAATGCCGTCGGAGGAGCAGCAAAGACGAAACCAAAATGCGACACTTGGTCTCGTTAGAAGTGAGGATATTTAAGTTTTCTCGGTATCGCACCCGAGTGTACGACACTTCACTTTGGTTGGCCTTTGGTTGACCTTTGGTAAACCTGGAAATGAACGACAATGTAAGATAACACCATGGGTCTGATCTTTGTTCCTTCTCTCACGGTTTTCTTTCTTGGAGAGGTTAAAGCGCCACAAGAAGATGAAAGGCAGTCTCCCTCCCACTTCCATGCGCCGCCTTCCCCCCCTCTCCACCCACACCATCCCTATTTCGTGACCTCGCTTGGAGCGCATGCCCATTCTGGATTGCATCTGTGTTCCAACCAAACTGTACCCAGCGGGTTCCCTCACGACGATTGGCTAGCAATGGTGCTTCCGGACGCCACAATTTTGGTTCTCCGCTCCCTTTGCTACTCGACGCCCTGCTGTCCTTCGTTGCCCCAAGGGAGGCTGTACGAAACATGTTGGGTTTAAGTTTGCAGCGGGTCGCGGGTACATCCTCCGTTGCAGAAGTGTGTGCTCTTTTCCGGTAACGAGTACTTGCGCGGCTTAAACCTTTGAGCAGATGTGCCAGGACCGATGATAGAACAAAAAAAAAGTCAAAATAATCCCGCCATTGCACGGTCGCTGTCAAATCCTGGCGATCACCTGGCCTTGCATGCACCCAAACCATACGTCGACCTTGGCCAGGTTTTCAAGATTCTACGAATGTACACGACGAGAGCTTTTGGCCCGGATAAGGAGTGTTTTCGCGGCCCCCTATCTGGCAGCCCGTTTAAAGTGCTGAGCATGCTGTCACACAGAGATAAATAAGGTCTGATGCAACCAATAAACACTTCCGGAGTCCATGCGTTTGCGGTCTATTGTGCCGTGTTACAGTACATTGTTCCGCCTCTACGTCTCTTCTGTCGGTTGAGCATGCAGGCCGCCGTGGCTCGAGTATCGTGGAAAACTACCGAAACCCCGAAATCCAGACTCCAAACAACAATCCTTCAGATCCTGATCCGTAATTACCATGTCATACTCATCAGCACACTTGCCCGTCTTCAGCGCTCAGATGACCTGTGACGCGCTGCGATTCGCCGTTTTTACTGCTCCGCTCCGGCATCGAGATACGAATTACACACACAAAAATCCCACCACCATGGCACCAGGACGAACTGCTGTTGTCCCAAACGTCTGCGCCCCACTGTCCACGAATTGAGTCGTTGGGCTTATTGGTACGGACTTTGGTGTTATTGGTGATTGGGCGGCAGCTCATTTCTCTTTTGTCTCGCAATGCTTCTCGTGCGTGTCTCTCGTGCTTTACGCCTTGCCTGTCGTACTCGCATCTTTTGGGGTCAGGCTCCTCCCTTCGTGCTTGCCACCTGCCACCTGCCACCTGCCCCTTTACTGGGTTTCGTGGAACGATCGCCATCGTTCCTTCTTTGTTGCGAAACTAGCAACAAGAGCGATGAAAAGAACAGGAAGGAGCAATTGCCTGTATTGTGCAGCAGCGTCCGAAGCGCTCTGCACATGTATGCTGCAGTCGTAGACGACTACGATTGACCTCTGCATCTGCCCACATTCCTGCCTTCAAGGTGCATCTTCAGCGTGTCGCTCGCGTCGCTCTTGCCTCATCTGGCTCGTAGCAGCTGTGCCCCGTGCATGCCAAACACAGCCGTTGAGCCTCTTTCCCGTTTCTCCCTTTCTGTGTTTCCAGTCGCCCCTTTCTGCCCTCCCCTCTCTCTCTCTCTCCAGCAATTCATCCCTTTTGCATTCCTCGCATCGCCATCGACATCGTCCCACCCCCCATGCATCTTCATACCGCCAATCTTTCCTCACTCCTCGCCTCCGCGTCCCATCATCGACTTCCCGATCTTTGTGTTTCAGTCACACCGAGCTCAGCCTATCTATCACAATCCCTATTGCCGGGTCTGTCCGACCGCCTTTTTGTTATCCTCTCATTCCGCCCTTTTTTGTTTCTTCTCTTCTCTACGCCCCCTCCCTCAACTGGTACGCTGAAGCATTTACGCATCCAACAGGCTTTGTATTCACAGGCTGTCCCTTTGACCTCTTGTCTGTATTGTCATTGTCGTCGGCAATTGGCAAGCAAACTGTACACTGTAAGTTTCAATATGAAATAGCGACAACGGTACCCAGGTTCGCATTTCACATCTCACAGCCAATTCTCAGTCTCCCATGTTGCTACCCACCGCTTCCCCTGTCTCCCTGCAGCCTTCCAATTTCCCCCATTTTTGGGGGTCCCTTCCGGGTCCCCTCCTGGTCGACCGACCCGGCGTCAAGCCTTTACCCGTCGTAGCCATCCTAGCCCCGAAACGCTTTCGCCAGCTCCACCGTAGAGGACATGTGCATATCCAGACGATGTGTATTACCATGTCACTGAATCGTTAACATTGTGAACAACAATGATGGAGCCGCCCAAATACGGAGTGCTTCTGGTCTATGCACTGCCCACAACCAGAATGTTTTCCAGGTTTATCTCTTCGACAGTGAATACAACATAAAAAATAGAAAGAAACGTCTTGTCCCATCACCTTTTCAAGAGCCACGCCTCCGTCGTCCATGGGGGCTAGCTCTGGCCTCTTCCGCTTCCTGGGGGGTGTCATTGTCCCTCCACTTTCCACCCATCTCCACCGAGACCCAGATATCCACACACCCGTCCACACACGCCCCCTTGTCTTTCTCAAGCTCGCGGCCTGGCCTTTCACCCTTTTTTGTCTACTCATGCCCTGTCTCTCCTTTTTGACCAGTGAGTAGCGTCTTCTAACCAGGTGTTTGTCAAGTATTATCCCATCGAGTCCCAGCACTGCTGCGGCCCCACACAGACTACGAACCTTGTCCTTTGGGCCTCCAAAAGAATCGCGGAGACTCGCTGTAAGCCTCGAATCCCAAGCGAGAACGGCTGGGCCTGAAAGGATCGTCCTCCCGACGACGGCGGGATACTACCACGACCAAACCACGGAGTAGCCAAGAAAAGAGGGGACCACCGACAGAAACACGGCCAGGCGTTTCTTCTCCAGTGAACGAACCTTCTTTCTTTACCTTGTTGGTTCCATCGTGCTGTCTCCGTCTCTTTTCCTTCGCAATCTGCATCGTGCGTTTGTCAACACTGCCGACTTTACGACGTTCTTGGCCTCGACTCCCATCTTTCAACTGTCGACACTGAACCAGACGGCTACGCCTCAGACGCCAACGCTTTCACTCAGGCCTCTCGTCGTCTCTCTTGAGGTCTTCCGCTCGTCCACTCTTTCACTGCCACCAACCGCATTCTGCTTTCCGTGTTCTTGATCGTCCTTCTCACCACATTTGTCGTCTCCTCCTGCCAATCGATCGTTATTTCGCACGATCCACCTTGCCGTGTAACACTCGCCTTTTATCCCGCCTCTTTGTCTTTTTCTCTCTCACTCTCTCACTCTCTGTCGTCTCCTTCTCTGACGCCCACCTCCTCATTTCCTCTTCTGGCTTCCCCAAGTGGCACAATCGTATAATCCTGTGTACGCCGTCCTGCGTCTCCTGGCGCCTGGCACTGGGCCTCTCCTTTGTGTTCCCTGTATCCCGTACACCTTGCGCCTTCGCCCTCGTCTTAGACAACTTTCTGTTTCATTCGCTCTCTCCCCGTCTTCGGTCTTGCGTTCCATCGTCTTCGTCGTCTCGTTTTCTTTCACTCGTCCGGTCCATGGTGTCTCGTCTTGTGAGCATCAGCATTGCTCTGGCATCACAATCGTGAACTGTTCGGCCAATCACCAAACTCGCCGAATGGGCCAGTAGCGACAACATGGCCAAGTAGTATCGAATACCCAACGGGCTGCCCGAAATTGACGACACTGTTGTCGTGAGGCCGTGGGCCCCGTCATCCCCATCCACATTAAGGGATGTTCGGACAACCACGCGGCTCAGGCCAGCCGCCGCCGCTGCCGCCTGATGATGGCGATGGCCGCGGCGGCGACCTCGACAACAGGAATATTCACCGCAGTATACCAATAAACAACGACCCAGGAACCGTCACCGGCTCCGAAGCCGTCGACACCGACGATGCGTCGTCAATGCCGTCGTCTTTTGCTTTACTCTCAGCATTGCGGCAACGCAACTTGCGCACATGGCCGCGCCAACGGCGACGTGACTCCAAATCGCCTCGTCCACCATCAAAAACGCAACCACAAGGACAGTCACAACAACAGGAACCCATCTCATCATCAGCTTCAACTTCAACTCTACAACAGCATACGCCAGACTCATCACAGTCTAGGGCTGCACAGCACATCCAATCGCCACTCGTGTCCTTGCTTGCCATGCCGCCAGCAGGCTCCGCCTTCTTGCACCACAGATCCCAGGCTACGAAGCAGCCGAAACAGTCACACCAACGGCGACGAATGCCGTACCCACTCAATGCCAACGCGCAGGAACGCTCGCCCTCACATTCGCCGCCGTTGCTGTTCTCGCCGTCCGCATCGGCTCCGTCTGTTGCGGAAACGCCAAGGGAAGTCGAACAGCTCGCCGGCGACTTCAGCCGCCACCATCTCGAGCATACGAAGACAGCCAGACCCTGTAGCACTAGCGGCAGTATCAAGACTAGTGTCAGTGGAAGCGGACGCGGAAGTGGTATTGGCAGCGGAGGCAGTGAAGGCAGCGAGCTTTGTAGTGGCCCCGGAAATCGATATGAAAGCCGATATGGAGACGCCCTGGCTAATTTCAGCCCTGGCATGGCCGAGTTCCGTCTACGCCGTGGTGGCAACGAGCCCGTCATAGATCTCGAAGTCGACATGGACCAGGATAATCGAAATGACGATGGTGACTGTGTGATTCGGCCGCCGTCACCATCGCCCTTAGAGTCAGCCTCCCAGCGCGGTCCCTCGTCGTATGCGCCTAGTGTGGATATCGATGCCGCTCCCGTTGTTCCGCCCGGCTTGCAGCGCATGCGGATGCGCCAGACCGCTTTGGCCGATGCCAGCGTGCGTCATCTCAACCTCGACCTGAAGCCGTTTCCTCGGCAGACCGACCCCGAGACCGACGTATCACAAGAGCCGGAACCAGAGACGGTACCTCCCGCAGAAGCGGCACCACCAACAGCAACATTAGCAGCAGCGCAGGCGGAGCAAACAGCACCGGCACTGGTACCAGCTGGTACTGGAGCGGCAGCTTTGGCGGCAGCATCGTCGATTGAGTTGGGAGACGACAACTTGGCACCGCTTCCCCTCGAATCCATGGCTATGCTAGCACCATATCCGCAACACTCGTTCCACCCTCACCCACAGCCCTACGCACGCTCCTACTACTCACAATCACTGTCCTACTCCCACTCTCTGCCACAATCGCGCCCTCACTCCCGTCAACCCTCCATATCCGCATCAACACAAAGCGATATCCCGCCCCAGCACTCCCTTCCCTTGTCACGCGAAGCTCTCACTATGCCGCACTTGGCTCCCCTGCACAACGATGTTCCGTCGTCCGGCTACGATATGAAGGGCTGGTTGAGTTCCAGCAGCATGGTCGAGGCTTCTACGTCGCTTATCACGGGTACCATTGACAACCACAGCGAAACGATTGCAATTGATATGGTTGCACATAAGACCGAGGCCGACTCTTCCGTTGTTCGTAGCCCACATGCTATGGATACACGTGTTGAAGATGCCACTTCCAACAATGACCAGCGCAGCGACTACCCATCTACTGAAGCATCATCAGCAAGAGAAACAACCCGAACCAGCGAGCGCCTACAGCCGAGAAAACAGTTCTACACTGCCTACCTCCAGCCACACCAACTTTCCTTTTTACATAGCAGTGACGGGCCGAACCCGCCCATGGATACGTTAGAGGCCGACATGGATAAACCCAATACGGAGAGCATTACTGACCGCGTATCCACAATTCCGGAAGAAGCTGAGGGCGTGCAAACACCTGTATCCGGATCTGCGTCGGGCTCGGCCACTCTCTCGCACGCAACTAATCAAGACAGCGCGAAGACCACCACCCCGAGCGGCCAGTACATGCTCCCCTCGCAACGTGTGCGGCTGATCCAAATGGCCATGGCCCGTGAGGCCGAGCGGGTTCGGTCGGAAAATTCTGCCGATGGTAGCTCGACAAATGGCTCGAATGTCATAGTACCGACCGACGACCGGATGGATGTCGAGATGGCAGACCCAATCGCCATCGAAGCGCAGGCTCCGTCTCTCGGCCTTTCCTCCAACATCAACAGTTCGCTCATTGGATCACTGCCACCACTATGGGACCCGGATCAACCCGAGTCCCTCCACAAGTACATAGGACCCTTCCGTTACCGCCTGTCGTCCGAAGTGGCCATGCGCTGTACGAATCTCGTGCACAACAAGCCGCGTATGCGTCGGCGGCGACCGCCTGGCGATGGCAGCGTGGCCACCAATGACAGCAGCAGCAGCCTTCGGGGTGGCAGCCACAAAGACGGCAGCGGTTTGCAAAGCGATCAGCGCAGTGAACGGCGTAGGGAACGCCATCGGGAACGAGCTCGCAAACGCGAAGAGGGAGCAAACCGTGATCCAAACCGAGAACGAGAACAGGATGCGAACCAACCCCGTGAAAGCCGAGAGAGGAGAAGCAGGACAAGTCAAACCCGCGAGCACGCTCGTCTGGCCACAGCCCACTCCGAAGCTCAGAAGCAGTCTGTCCCACTAGAGAAGCCCTCACCACCGCCCGAACCCTTGGTACCGCCGGTCCCGGACCCAGCTCTCATGCAGATCGAGCAGCCTCAACTGCAACAGCCTGAACAACTGCAACAACCGACGCAGCAGTACCTGCTTCCTGTTTGGGCACCGTCCGCTCCCGAGTCTATTGATGTGCCCACCGACATGTCTTGATTTGGCCTTGTCTTCACTTGCATCTTGCTTCAACTTATTATTTTTGACTTTTTGACGACGTTATCTTCTGGCGTTTTCAACCTTTTTTGTGACGACCGTTTCGGATATCCTACTTCGGATACAAAACAACAGCATTTCGTTTCTGTTTTGTTGATTTACATTTGTTGTCAATTTATGCACTTTTGCAGGAAAACTCGGTTTGATTTTCATGCAGTTTTGAGATTCTTCTAGAAAGGTGTTCACCATAGTGCTCATTTGGTGCTGTTGACCAGGCGTTTCTTTGCGTTATCCGCTCTGCTCTTTTTACTTCAGCTTACATTCTCCGCGTGGGACGATACCCTTATCTCTTTCTCTTTCCCGTTGCACCATCGCATCTATTCTTCCTTTTGTTCATTGCCCTTTGGACCTTCTTTTGTTGTCTCATTCTGAGTCGCTTCGGTCGTTTGTTTTCTTGGATACCTGGGTTTCTTGGAAGGAAGGAAACAGGATACAAAAGGCTCATTGTCACTCACCCTCTGGTCTTGAAAATCAGGGGAATTGGTTTGATCGTGGCTTGGGTTGATGGCTCAGTCATAAATGCCCACTCTAAAACATCTCAATAATATTCAAGATTCAGAATACCATTAAACCAGCCTCCACGCGGTGCCTTTGCCAATTGGCTCTCAACATACTGACTAGCAGTTAGGAGAAAGAGAGAGCACTACGAACTGACGAGTGCTGACAATGCCTCTGGGAGGACGTGAGGAAGTGGTGTTCTACGGCGACGGCTAATTCATTGCCCATCGTACATAACCCGACCGTGCCCTCGCCCACACCCACGGCATCCTGGATGAGGCTACATATTTTCACAGACCGTACCTCGACTGGGACCGGCAGCCTCAACGTCATCCCCCCAACGACCAGCGAAGTCATGATCTAAGCTGACTAGAGCAACGAAAATGTTCTGTGCCGTCCGAAAACCAGCGGCAAGCGGCCTTGATGTATGGAGCGCGCCCATAATGACACTCGGAGGAGTCCGAATACCATTGTACATATTGACACTGCATTTTGGAGGGCTCTCCGTTCGGAGGACGGTTCAGGAAGGTAGGTGTATGGCGCACTCACGTCTCCAATCTTTCTCTCGATCCGGATTACCGCCGTGCGCTGCTGCGCTATACGTCGCATCATACGGAATACATGGACCTCCCTCCCTCCTCTTGAACAACCCCATCTCATTCTCCCGGCTTCCTGATACGGACGAGCACGATACGCAACCGACCGGGCACG